CCCCCCCAAAAGGAACTATGGAGGCCGCGCCCGAGACCCCCCCGCCGCCGCCATCTGAGTCTCCGCCGCCGCCATCGCCGCCGCCGCCATCAACGCCTTCGCCTCCTCCGTGTTCCCCCGACGCCCGCCCGGCCACCCCGCACCTCCTCCACCACCGCCTCCCGCTCCCTGACGACAGGTCAGGCCCCCGGCCGGGCCGGGACAGCGTCCCCGGGGGGGAGGAAGAGGAGGAGGAGGAGGAAGGGGGGCGGCCGCCATGTTGGGCAGGGCCGCGGAGGAGGAGGAGGAGGAGGAAGGCCGCGTCGGTGGGTGTCGCTCGCTCGCTCTTTCTCGCTTGCTTTCTCTTCCGGCCTCATGCGTTTACCCCCCCTCGCGGTGTTCGCCCGCTCTCCCTCGCTCTCGCTCTGTCTTTTTTGGGCGCCATGCTGAGGGGAAGGTGAGGAGGCGCCCCTGGACCCCCCTGCGCCCGCCTGCCCGCCCTGGGAAGGGGGCGCCGGGGGAGGGGGCTGCGGAGACCCACAGGGGTCCTGGCCGCCCCTGCACCCGGAGCTGGCAGCCACGGGCCCGCCTGACCGTCGCCTGGCTTCGGGGGTGGGGGAGGGGCTCCTGGACCTTTTTGGGGGGACCCAGAGCCACAGCTCCGCTCTTAGGGGCTTGGATTTGGGGGGGAAATCTCCCAGCCCCCCGGCAGTATCCTTTCTCCTGGGATTAGGTGCCCTGACCCTTTTAGCAGGCACATAGTTGGGGGGTCTTCGTTTCCCCCCCATTTCATCCTCCTCCTGGCGGGAGGGGGGCGATCCTTTGGGTGTGGGCACTTTGGAATTATTTTTGGCGGGGGTGTTTTGTAGCTATTCCCTAGAGGGCAAGCTGGGAGGGTGTACATCTTGAGCCTTTTTGAGGAAAGGGAGCCCCTATTTGTTTTTTGGGTGGAATAAGCCCCTCTTCCGTGTTTTTCCTTAAAGGGAGGGGCTCCTCTTGTTTTTTCTAGGTAGGAGACTTGTCGGCGGGTCCTCGGCTTTTTGGGGGGTTAAGATTGTCTTGGAGGGGAGAGGTTAACCTCCCCGTTTGTCTCTTCGGGCTGGCCCCTCTTTTGTGGTGAAACGGGGGTGCTCCCAGGGAGCGCCCCGGAGTGCCCCCCCCCACCCCCCGCCCCGGGCCCTTTTAGTAAGTGCGAAGTGGGCTCCCCTCCCGATCCCTGCTCCTGCGGATGGTGGTGAAGCCCACCCCGCGAGGACACTGGGCGAGGTGGGGGGTCCCCGGGTTCCCTTGCTAGAACCCAAGGAGGTGGGGTGCAGACCTTGCCCACGTTTTCCTGGTGGGGCCTAGGAAGAGGGGAGGAGGGGTGGGTAAAGAAGGAAGGTGGGTCTCAGGCAGCAGGGAAGTGAGTGTGAGAGGTGCTGGGGTGGCTAGGGGAGAGAAGGCACAGAGCAGATGGCTGCTGGGTCGCGGCCCGGGGAGCAGCGCAGGACTCTTCCCTGGCCTGGGGTCCCTGCCAGGCACCACAACCCCAGCTCCCCTCCTCCTCCCCCCCTTCGTTTCTCCTCCACAGACCACACTTTGCCTTTTAAAAGAAATGCCACCCACATTCAGAGACACAAGTGCAGCAGTTTGGTGAGCTTTGACAAAAAAAATATTTTTTTCTGTTTTGTTCTAATTAAATGTATCGTCCTGGGAATCGCAGCCCATCGCAGCCTGACTCCAGTCCAAGGAAATAAACAGATTAGCAAAGGTTTGCTGGCCAAGCCCTGGTTGGGTGTCCGGGCCCCCTCCCGGGGCAGGTGCATTACTCAAAGGTGCTTACACGCTTTATTCGACCTCTAAGGAGTTGTCTTATGTCAGAAGTGTGTCTTACAATGGGTTGGGATGGTAAGTAGACTCTTTTATTGAGTAATTCAGTTATGTCCCTCTTAATGTCCCTTTCCTGCCTGCCTTCCTCCTTGGCCTGTAGACCACAGTGATGCTTGAGAGACGGACTTTATCTGTTCAAATCAGGATTCTAACCCGGTTGAACCCTTTTTAGACTTGCACATCCTTTTCAATGTTTAATTTTTAAAATTTAACGTACACAGTTTTATCCAAAAAAAAAAAAAGTGTGATACTGTAACATGACCAAAACAATGTAAAGGCCATCAGGTGTGTGTTCCCACCCTCGGCACCCCTCCTCGGTTTCAGTCTGTCAGCCCTCATGTTAGAACAGAAGTGGGTACTTCCAGTCTGTCTGTAGGAGACGGGCTTACTTGAATTTGCTTGTGTGATAGTTGGATTCAAGTTAATGTCTTCTCCCTTCCCTGTTCCCCCAATTAGTTCAAGTAGATCCCATTTCCTCATTTGACTTCAATGTGTCTTACGGTGTCAGACGTTTTAGATTTGAGCAAGTCATTTGTAAAGTTACCGTTTAAGCACAAAGTCTGTGAGAACCGTGCCAAGCCCCAGCCCGGCCTGCCTCCGCCGCTCCTTTGTTGCAAAGCACATGCCAAAAGGTGTGAAAAAGTTGACGCAAAGAAAAAAAACGTGTTGCACTCCCAGCCCTGTCCGCGGGACCACCGCCCGCGCCACCCCCCACTGCCCCGTCCCACGTGTCCAAGGAAAGCAAGCAGCCACAGACATGACTTGCAGAACCAAGCACTGTACTGCCCATGTGTTTAAGCATAAGTTTTTCCGTTAAAAGCCAAAAAAAAAAAACAACACGCTGAAGCTCCCCCTCCCTCCTGCTCCTCTCGTCCCCTGACACTGTTAGACTAACACACGGTCCTTAATGCAAAAGGCCCTGGGAGCTTCCAGTTAACCCACGTTCCGGGGAGGTAATGTGAAACCTGCACTGAGCAGGCCACTTGTGTGGGTTTTTGTTTTTTCTGCTTTTTCCTATGTTCACAACTTAACCGGCCTGAGGTGGTCTTAGGTATGTCACCTCAGTTGTGGGAGAAAGATGGCTGAAAGCCACAAAGGCCTGCCCCCCAAAAGTGTCTGAAGCACCAGGTCCACACACTGGGTCCGCTGAAAACTAGCTCCCAAGTTTCCCAAGCTTTGTAAGTCATCTTCCCCAGGGAGCTGAGAGCAGAAGTTGAATGTTAGCTGAACAGCTTATTTGAGAATTTAAAGAGCAAATGTTAAGGAAATGGGGTTTCTGTTGAAAGTCATAATTTTAGTAATTATTCACTGAATTAAAAATGTTTCCCCAAACATTTAAAAGAAAATTCTCAGGCCCATCAACCCAAGGGGTTTTTTTGTTTTGTTTTGTTTTGTTTTTGGTGCTGGAAGGATTCTCATCCATGAAGTCCAAACCCTAGTAATTAAATCAACTACACTCTGATAATCATTGCTTTTGGAATGTCACAGTACAGCACTTCTCCCCTCTCCAAACTGATGTGCTTGTATTAAAAATCAAATTAATGGATGCTGCAGAAAAAAAAGGGTGTCACCCAGAGTATCTAACAGCAGATCTTGTACATTTGTAACTTCTAAATTTTTGTTTTCTCTGGATGAGAGGTTTGATTTGAAAGCAAAGTGAGAAATCTCGCAACAGAAATGTGACAATGGGCCAGCGGCCGTAAAATCCCTTTCTTTTCTGCCCTCTTTGAATTGACTCTGGGACAAAGTGATTCCGGGGAGGGGCTTTTGAATACCCAGGTCTGTCCTGTCTCCCAAGCAGTTAGTGGTTTATGATTTGCTCTAAAGGTTTTTACATTTTCGCTTCTTGACGAGCCAGAATGGTCTTTGCGTAAAGCTACCTGTTTCCGGAAGCCACTGCTGAGGGCTTTCCCCAGGCAGGCGGGTTGTCAGGGAAAGCCGTGCAGTACCTGTGGGGGCTTTGCTGGCCGCCTGGCAAGTTAGGGATGGATGCGAGGGGCCTGCAGTGGTGTGAGATGAATGGTCTGAGGTGGAGCCTTCTAGAAGGCCTCCGTCTCTGTTCCCTGCTGGCAGATCTGTAACCCTCTCCTATGGGAGAGAAGCAGCCACCACAGGGTCCCTTTTGTTCACACTGGTTGTCTTACAGCTTTTTTTTTTTTTTTTTTTGTGGTTCTGGAATCCCTAGAAACATATTGGTGGAGGCCAGATCCGATTACAGTAAATACCTCTGTGGTGACAATCGCTAATGAAACTATTTTCAGGTCTCTGTGGGGTAGCTTTAAGTGAGACCATATTCCCGACAACCTAATTTGGGTCCCTGTGGATGGAGCGAGTGGTCCTGATCCGCCAGGGGAGGCTGAGTGATGCAGGAGCTCAGAGCAAACAGTGAGCTGATAGGAGAAAAAAATGGATGATTGCTGCGAGACAATACCAGTTGATATTTGCTTGTGTGGCTTTTTGGTTTTTGTCTTTTAGTTTTTATTTGAGAAACAGAGCACAACTTGCTTTGAGCCAGGCCGAGGCCAGGAGCTGCAAACTCCGTGTCTCTCACAGGGTTGACAGGGTCCCCAGTACTCGAGCCGTGGCCTGTCGGGTCTGCATCAGCAGGATCCGCTCAGAAATTGCTCATGGGCATCCCAGGTGTCTTAGCGGCTCCACCAGATACCTCCTCCTAGATGACAGTGAATGGCGTCACCCGTGGGGACGTGGGGGCAGAATGCCTGTCTGGGGAGGGAAACACTGAGATTCCTAAGTAAAATCAGAGAAAGGCCAGGAAGGCTGCTGGCGAGTGCAGGTGGCTGGCAGGGCGTGCTTGGATGAGCCAGGGTGGACAAGAGCTGAGAGCCGGGTGGGGGCTGCATTCCGCGGCGGGGTCTTGTGGGTCTCCCTACCCAGTCTTGGCCGTGTTATTGTGCTTTTGCTGGTTAAGGTGAATGCGGTTTGGAGGACATTGTACCGGGCGTCTCTGCGTTGGTTTAGTAATGGGTAGGAGGGAGGTGGGCACTTTCCTGGCACAGCAGCCACTCAGGTGGCAACATGTGTCTACATCCAGTTATTGGATTTTTTCCCCCAAGCAGTACACGGGGCATTTATTTGCTCCTTTCTCCTTCTAGACAAATTGTTCCTAATAAGGAATCTTTCGTTGAGTATGCCTTGCCGTGCTGTTTGTGTGTGACTTGGTGACTCAGCACCCTGTTTGTCAGGCAGTAACATCTTTGTGCACACTGGAGGTGGCAACAGGATGTGACGGGAGAATGGGCTCTGCAGCCAGATAAGCCGGGGCCCCTCCCCCAGTGCAGCGGGCAGCAGGGGCTGCATGCGGATCATGCCTGTTCCTCAAGGTCCGTGGGTCACGAGCTCCTCTGGGACACCCACACAATGCTGGCATTCAGGGAATCTCTTCGGTTTCTCTGCTAGGGAGAAATCCTAACTAGAACTTAGGCAGAGCGTTCTGTCCACAGAAGAAGGAAGGGCGCCTATGTGAAAGCGGCCCGGCCCCCCTCACTTCTCAGGCCCTGGGCAGCCTGCGGAGCTGCCAGCGGCTGGTGGGGGGGACACTCAGCGGAAGCCATCTTGGGGCACCATCTTGGGCCTGCTCCGCATCCTTAGTAGAGATGCTAAGCAGTGCTTCCATCTGCAGCGGCATGGCCTGGCACTTGCTGTGCTCAGGCTTTGTTGCCGGAGGCTGAGTCATTGCCACAGCCTTGGAAGGCCTCCTGAGTCCTGCCTGAGGCCAGTCCGAGGCACGAGGGCTGCCCCAGCCCGGAGTGACTGCACCCTTGGTCGCTGGCAAAGGCAGGTGAGGCTCTGCTCCTTTGGCAGCCAGGCTTGGCTCGTGCTTTGCTGGAGCAGGGGATGTCTGTGTCCTGAGAACCTCACTGGCTGGCCTAGGGTGGTGCCCGCCTCTGCTAGGCCGCCTCTTGCCTTCTGCAGTCTCTGGCCTGGAGGAAGGCATCTGCTGCCACCAGTGCCGCAGCTGTGGCATCATCCGCTTATTAATGGGCACCTGCAAAGCCGCCGCCTTAGAAAGATGAATTGTGAGATTTGACTCTGCGGCCGGCTCACTGGCAGGCCTGTCGGGACCCTGTCACTGTGGTTGGCCAGGCTTGTGGTTCCTTTGTCCCAGCCATCCCTGTCGGCAGGCCCAGAACAGGACACATGAACTAGAGCCATACAGAGTAACCTAGAGTGCAGCTGAGGCCCCACTCTCCCAGGAGCCTCTCTTGGGAGAGGCAGGGTAGGAGCCAAGGGCAGCTGCAGACAGGGGGCTGGGCAGAGTGGATGGGCCAGTTACCCATCTAGTCACCCAGGTTCTTGGTCAGCTTTCTTTGTCTTTCCTAAAGGTGACAGTGCCACTTGTGTAGGATCAGCGAGGCACTGGTTCTGGGTTGCAGAGCTGGTGTGCACCAGAGGCAGCCAATTTGAGACCCCAGCACGGTGTCCACATACTGCCCCGCATCTGGAGTGATGGTATCTGAAGGCCATTTACTGATGCAATGGAAGTTGGTAGAAAAAGCAGTTACCTTAAATGCTTCTCTGTGAAATTTGTGTTTGACAGCAATGTAGGTGGAGCAGGGAAGTCAAGGTCAGAACGGGGGAAAGCTACCGGAGGTAGGATAGGAGCCCACCAGGCTTGATGTCGTTGATAGCCAGCCAGCACACAGCCTCCTGGTTTGTCTTGGAGACTGCTGTGGGCAGGGCAGCTGAGCCAGGGACGAGCAAGGCCTGTGAAGCTCAGATTGCGGGCACTGCAGTGGCATGGCATATAGGCGCGTGGCGTGCTTCCCCCACTACCCTGTGGCCACTCGTTATGGTGGCAAGGAGTTCGTGCACAGGGATATTCCAGCTAGAGCTGGTCGTGGGGAGGGTTGGCATGTGTGCCGGCCAGCATGGCTCCCTCGTCCTTGCACCCCCCGTTTCTTCCAGGGGATGTGGAGGGGCAGGTGGAGCCTTCTGAGCGTTAGGTGGAAAGGACTGTCATTCAGGAGGGGTATGCAAGAAGTGGCTCTCCTCACGCCCTTCTGCTGTGTCCCCCGAGGGCGCTGTGGACCCAGTGTCGCTTGGCTGATGTCTGCTGCAGGTAGCTCGATTCCTGCCCTCCTGATTTCCCTGACAGACACTAGGGCTTGGGTTTCTTCAGGGTTCCGGGCAAGCCCTGCCCCTGTACAGGGCAGGAGAGTGCCGACGGGGGACTACAGTGACGTCAGCAGCTCTGGTGGGTCTAGAGCCATCCCCCTCTGACCAGCCCGGACGCCATGGATGAACAGAATGAGGTTGCGACGGGGAGACCCGAAAGGGGTCCAGGTTTTTGCAAGTTCCTGGGTGTTGATGAAATTGACCTAGGAAGAGTGTGGCTATTGAGACTGCTAGGCCAGATTTGGGGAACCTGCCCTGAACTGGTCCCCGCAGGACACTGGGGTAACCAGTTGTTGCATGCAGATACTCGCCACTCTGCCTAGGACGTCGTTAGTGGTGTGTGGAAAGGAAATCTCAAGGGTCCTAGGCCGTAGGGTTCTTTTCTTCTTTTGTAAGGTTTATTTGATTTTTATTGGAAAGTGAGATATACAGAGAGGAGGACAGAGAGAAAGATCTTCTGTCCATGGATTCACTCCCCCAGTGGCTGCAACAGCCCGACCTGAGCTGAGCTGATCTGAAGCCAAGAGCCAGGAGCCTCTTCCAGGTCTCCCAAAGGAGTACAGGGTCCCAAGGCTTTGGGCCATCATTGACTGCTTTCCCAGGTCACAAACAGGGAGCTGGAAAGGAAGCGGGACTGTCAGGATTAGAACTAGTGACCATATGGGATTCCAGGCATGCAAGACAAGGACTTTAACTGCTAGGCTAGCACATCAGGCCCCATAGAGGAAAAATATTAACACTTTGGTTCAATTTATGTTGAATCAGATTAGTTCCTCTGAACGGTAAAATTAAAACATCTTACAGAGTGAGTGACTAGACCTTGTCCAGTGTCAGAATCAGGCCTGGGATGGGAGCAGGTGTGAAGGGGCTGCCACGGAGCTGAGGAGCAGACGCCAGGGCCTGCACTGCTGGGAGTGCCTCTGTGGGAGAGAGGAGGTCCCATCCGGCTCCTCCAGCAGTAGGCTCGGATCGGTGGTTCACTTCTAATCTAGCTCCCTGCTAATGAACCTGGGACAGCAGCCGACCATGGCCCAAGGATTTGGGACGTGCACGTGTGGGAGACCTAGAAGGATCTCCTGACTTTGGACCGGCCCAGCTCCAGCTGTTACAGCCATCTGGGGAGTGAACCAGTGGGTGGAAGATCTTTCTATCTCTTCCTTTTTCTATGGCTTTTTATTCAGTAAATAAATAAATAATTATAAAAAGATTGAGCAGGAGAAATCTACCATCTACTGGCTCACCCCCAACATTTCTCTAATAGTCAGGACTGGGTTGGGCCGAAGCTAGGAGCTTCATCTGTGTTTCCTTCAGGGGCAGCCAGGGCCCACAAAGGGCTTGGGCCATCTTCCGCTGCATCTCCAGGTATGTTAGCATGGAGGTGGATTAGAAGCGAAGAGGCTGCAACTCTAATTGGCTGTGCTGCAGGATGTTGTGGTTTAAATTGCTGTGTCATAGCTGGGTCCTGATCATTGTGTTTGGAAGCTACCATTCCCTTTGTTGAGTCTTAGTGGCCTGTGTTGGCTTTCATCTTTGCATTTATGTTTTATAGCCATGTGGAGGAAGACTGGGCTAGGTTGGTGCACATTGCCTGTGGAATGCCACATTCCTGTCTTAAAATTCCAGTGCTGGGTCTGTGTCACGGTGGAGGAAGTGGCCGAGTGAGGCTCCATCCATTGGTTCACTCACCATGTGGCTACAGTAGCCTGAGCTAAGCCACGCTGAAGCCAGGAGCTTTCTCCAGGTCTCCTCTGTGGTTGCAGAGTGCCAAGTACTTGGGCCATTTTCTGCTGCCTTCCCCGGTGCACCAACAGGAAGCTGGATGGGAAGTGGATCAGCCAGGACTTAAACCGTTGCCCGTATGGGACGTTGACACTGCAGGCTGTGTCCTAACTCGCTATGCCCACAGTGCTGGTCCCAGTTTTATTAAAAAAAAAAAAACTTAATTTACTTTAGAAGACTTGTTTTATTTATTACAAGTTAAGAGACTCAGAGAGAGAGAGCGAGGTTTCATTTCTGCTGGTTCACCCCCACGTGGCCACAGTGACCAGGCTGGAGCCAGGAGCTGCTTCCTGGTCTCCCGTGAGCATGGCAGGCCAGATACTTGGGCCATCTTCCGCTGCTTTCCCCAGGCCAGTAAGAGGGAGCTGGATCCTAAGTGGAGCAGCTGGGACATGAACTGGCATCCCGTGGGGTTGCCACTCCACGGTGCCAGTCCCACAGGGGGGTCGTTGGGGTTGCCGCTCCACGGTGCCAGTCCCACAGGGGGGTCGTTGGGGTTGCCGCCCCATGGTGCCAGTCCCACAGGGGGGTCGTTGGGGTTGCCACCCCACGGTGCCAGTCCCACAGGGGGCCGTGGGCACCCCACTCTCCGCTTTCTGGAATACTGTTGCATTTAACCTGTTCTTGGATGCTCACTTGTTTTCCTCTCCATGATAGTAAATTTCAGGGTAGGAGTTTTTTTGTCAGTTAACCTGTTGAGCAAATACATTTTTTTCCCAGTGTTTTCTAATTGTGTTGAGGGTAGAGGCCAAGGATCAGGCCTCTGGTGCCAGTTCTGCCTCTTGTGTGATCCCGTGGCCACATTTCCTCTGATCTCCAAACCTCACTTGGCTTGTCTGTGAGAGACTTACTGCCCGTTAGGGGCCAGGGCATGCAGAGGGTGTGTCACGACTCTCCAGTGGCGCCCCCACAGGAGCCCTGGGACTGAGGTGGTTGAGGAGGAGCTGGCAGAGGGTGAGGCCAGAGAGGGCTGTGGAGGCGCAGGTTGGGGTGCTGGGTGTCCACGGCCTCAGGCAGTCAGCCCTGTGGGGCCTCCCAGCATCCCCCCATGCCAGGGTTGGCCACCAGAGCTGCCTGATGGAGAGCAGGCCGTGTGCCCCGCCACCCAGCCTTGCGGTGACTATGGCTCCAGTCACCTCGCCCTCTGGCTCAGAGTAAACTCCAGATCTCATCTTACCTGTTAAGTTTTTCAGTGTGGGTCTCTGACTCAAGGATTTAAAATCCTCATATGTTATACCACAGAGCTGCAGTTACTCCTAACAGAATTAACATCTTTCTCCTCAGGGTTGTCTGTGGCTTGTCCCATGAGTTTGGGCCAGATGATGAGCCATCCGGCTGTCTAGCTCACCCCGAAGCATGGGCTGTTGGTGCTGGTGGCTGGGCTAGACTGGTTGGTTTATGCCTACATGTGCTCGGGCAGTGGCCATGATGCAAGCACGTTGCCATGGAGACAATGTGATGTCACAGAGTAAGCTGTGACAGAGAGAATGCTGAGTCGTAGCCCTTTGCTCTTGATTTGTAGTTGATGGACCTAGGTAGTAAGGACACTGAAAAGCATGTGCAGGCCCCAGAGGCTTATTTCCAGGATTTCCTGGCTCTGAAAACCCTTCAGTGGGGCTCCCCGAACGGCTGCCTCACCGCATCCTAAACCGAGCCGTGGTCGCGGCCTCTCAGTCTGGGGCCTGAGCTGGTTTCTAAGGACGGCTCCGGGCCTTCACTCTGAGTACACGGCAGTCCTGCAGGGTCAGCCCCGAGGAACCTAGGCCGCTCGTTAAACAGTTGAAGAGGCGGGGCCTCCTTGTAATTTTTGTCATTTTGTCCCCAGTTAATGGCCCATTCAGAGCCTACCCAGGCAATTTGTTGCGAGCCTGGGCAGTTAATGGTCGTAACCCTGACCTTCACATTAAGCTAGCCGCCTCATGGTCTTCAGGTAACAGCCGCTGCTCCCACCAACTCTGCTCCAGGTCTCCTGTGGGTTCTGCCACTTTCCCCCGCCAATTGCCTCTGTGAGCCAGGGGCGGCTGCCAGCCAGGGACCCTTGAAAGCTGTCAGGTTGCCTAGTGTCTCGCTGGGGCCTTTGTCACTTCCCCGGCCCTGGTTCTCCCTTGACCTTCCTTCAGGCCAGGCGTATGCCTGCTTCTGGTTAGAGCTGAGGATGGGCGATTCTGTGTGGGTTTTATCAACAGGATCAGTTACGAGAAAATGGTGTCACTGGCAGGCCAAATGACAGGCTTGTATGTTATAGTGTCCCCAAGGTTCCAGGGGGATGTCCCTCCCCCACAGAGCACACCTGACACTCCAGCTAGTTGAGAGTTGCCGTGTATATGTGGGCCTGGCCGCTGGTTCAGAAAACCAGCATCCACTGGTTTTTCTGCCGCTTACTGGGAGCTTCCCCCATCCTCTTTGCCCACACCCCATGTGAGGGATTTTATTCACGGTAGCTCACGTAACGCTTACACTGCCTCAGATAGGTGTTGCTGTCCTGTTCTAGGCTCATGTTCCAGACCAAGAGCATGCTCCTGGGGGGGAAGGCAGAGCTGGTGCAGTGGCTCAATGCCCCGAACATGCCCTGAGCCCCGTGGGGTTGACCCAAGAGGTGTTCCTTAGAATGGGCATCCAGCTCTGAACAGGGAGACCTCAGTGCTTGGCAGCTGGTCCCCTGGGAGGCAGGAGCCTGGGCTAACTCTCGGCCATGTCCCCCTGGGGCCAGTACCAAGTGCCCTCCCAGTGTGGCCAGTTCGCATCTCACGCCTCTGGGATGAAGCAGCCCTGCGCAGGCTGGTGCCGTGGAGTTGTGTGGGGAATGCGCGTGTCTCAGGAGGGTTTGGCAGTGCGGCTTGGTCCTCTTCCTGGGGGATTATGTCACACTCTATTAGGCATGTTTCCTGGGGATTTAATCCTACTGTGACGGGGATTCTGCTGGCAGCGTGAAGTGGCACTGCTTACACTCGGCTGCCATGCTGGGCAGCCGTGCGGGTTCTGCTCTGGCCCCCAGGTGGCTTGACATTTTTTCTTTCTATGAGTGTCTGAACAGAAGAGTTAAATTTTGTTTTCAGGCAGGCCATTTGGGTGGGCGTGGAATGCATCTCCTGCCGTGACGGGGTGTTGCTCCCCAGGTGAGCATGGGTAGAGAGGCTTGGGGACATGATGTGCCTGGGTGTCACAGCCCCAGTGACCCTTCTTAAATCAGCAGTGCCTTTGGAAAAAAAAAAATCCTTTGTGTATTTTAGTCTTTCAGGATGTAGGGACACAAAGTTGCAAGTGTTCCCCTCCCTGTTCCTGGGCTGCTGGGGTGGAAGGTGCCAAGCCCCCTGCCAGTCTGTGGGCAGATACCAGTGCCCTCCTTCCCTGCCTTGCTTTTCTGCCAAGGGCTGGGTGGGTATTGGTGACATCACTCATGGGCTGTTCAGAATCACCCGCTGGTGAAGCGGCAGTAGAGGAGTTGAACTTCAAGTCCTGTCCCTGGTTGCCTGGCCAGGACCACATTCAGTGATTGCGCAGGCTGTTCCCTGCCCTCATCTAGAACCCTCCGGGATGCTGGGGTGCAGTTCTCCTCGATGCTTGGCCTTGATCCCCAGGTGTTAGCTGTAAGAGAGGTCTGAACCAGCTGAGGCCTGCGCATAGGGGTGGACCCTTGACAGGAGTTTAGCCTGCCCTGTCCTGTGTGGGGCCTGTGTGGTTCTGTGCGCCATGGCAGCTGTCTGCGGACCAAGCTTCTGCTTGTTAGTGTCTGTCTTGTTGGGTGGGAGGGTTAAGGCCAGGTGCCGGCAGAGTTGTGGTGTGTGTGGCGAGCAGGTCACTCTGCTGTGTGAGGGCCTGCATGCCTCCAATCTATCCCTGGGTCCTGCCCCATGTGGTGCCAAGGCGAGCCTGGCCTGCCTACAGGATTCCCATCAGGGACTGGTGTCTGCATGGCAGCAAGTTTGCCACATCACTAATAGCCTTGCCCACCAGACTAAACCAGTTTTCCCAGTCAGGTGGCCTTCTCACTGTGTGTGAAGCCACACCCTGGCAGAGGTGCCTCCCTTGGCAGGAATGCCGCCCCCATCCTCATCCAGGGTTTGCTCTGTGTCTTTTTGGGCCAACCTGGTGCCACGATTGCATCATTAGATTTTCTTTCTCTTTCCTTTGGAGGCAGGAGGTATTATTTTAGTACTGCTTGCCGTAATTGGGAGAGCTAAATTTGACCTCTGCTCTGTGGTGTCCCCCGGCCTCGGCTGCCTGTGTTGTCAGTGGACCATCCTGGGAAGGAGAGGTCACGGGGAATCTCCTGGGGGCTGCTCCTTGAGGTCTGGGAGAAGGGCCGCCGTGGAGTGCCTGGAGGCCGCCAGCACACACGCTCTGCCCGGCGGAGCCCGTGTGGCCATTTCTCCCTTCGTGGCTGCTGCGAGCCATGCCTGCTGCCCACCTCCCTGTGGTCTCGGTTTCTGTGTGTGGCTTCATGTAGGTGGACTCGGAACGTTCCACCTCCACCTTGCTATGGTCGTTTGTGAGGAACTTTTTCAAATTGAAAAAGATTTTTTTCTCCCTCACCAACTCCTGCACTTGTGAAAACTGTGTCTGTGGATTTGGCTGACACACTGGATTCTTCTCCAACTGCTCCATCCTTAACCCTGTCCCTTCCCCACCCCCCACCTTTCCCCACAGGTATCTAGGTCCAGAAAGAGTCCTGGTGTAGTTGTATGTTGGGAGAACACTTCCCATTTGTGAAGTTTCCATGAGTTGGGCATGAGCTGCAGGGCTGGCAGGGGTACCTGCGGGGAGGGAAGGCAGGCTCGGTGTCACAGGAGGACCCAGCAGAGGGCTTAGGGGCCACAGCCAGGTCTGTCTGTGGGAACGTCCCGAACACCCTTGACTCCTGAACCATGGCCCCATCCTCTGTTAACAGCTACCATGGTCAGCTGCAGTGTGCAGGGCCCCTGTGGGGCTCTGTCTTCTGAAGAGGGGCTTTGTGCAGATAAACCCCTGTGGAAGGGGTGGGGGACGGGGACTACAGGTGCTCCCAGCTCTGGGTGCTGGGGCTCTGCACACGTGGGTCACTGGTGGGGCCTTTCTGCGCGCCTCTCCACACACTCCTTCTCAGCCAGGTGGGGCAGGAGGAAGGGTGTCCGTCCCCCGCCCCCCGTGCTCCCAGGGGTTATAGCTGCTGCCCATTACAGACAGGCCTTTGGTCCCCCTGGCCCCGCTCAGCCCAGGGCCCATGGGGTCTCCTCCCAGACCCGTGTTCATGCTGCTTTGGGCTTGCTTTGTAGGGAAGATGGTGAGTTGGAAGAAGGAGAACTGGAAGATGACGGGGCCGAGGAGACGCAGGACACCTCTGGGGGACCGGAGAGGAGCCGGAAGGAAAAGGGGGAGAAGCACCACAGTGACTCCGATGAGGAGAAGTCTCACCGGAGGCTGAAGCGGAAACGCAAGAAAGAGCGGGAGAAGGAGAAGAGGCGGTCGAAGAAGAGGAGGAAATCCAAGCACAAAGTAGGTTGGGGATGTTTGCAGGGCAGCGGCTGCTGCTGGCCCCAGGCTGGCACTGATGCCCCAGGTGGCCCCTGGCTGGCCCCAGGCTGGCACCGGGCTGGCCCTGGCTGGCCCCGGGCTGGCCTGGAGGGCCTGTTCCTAGTGTTTCCTCCCACCCTGAGTTGAAGAAAGGCCTTTAGATCTTTTTTAATGCTCCATTGCCACTGATGCCCCTAGGTAAGGTATTTCAGGGTGAGCACTCAGCCCTTCTGGCACATCTTGGCTTGTTTGTCTCCGGGCTGGCAGCTGGAGCGAGTGGCCAAGTTGGTGTGGTGCCCTGTTGTTGCAGCGCCACGCTTCTTCCAGCGATGACTTCTCTGACTTCTCGGATGACTCGGACTTCAGCCCCAGCGAGAAGAGCCACCGCAAGTACCGGGAGTACAGCCCGCCCTACGCGCCGGTGCGTGCAGCCCAGAGCCCTGCAGGCTTGGGTGTCCTTCCTAGCTCTGTTCTAGGGGACGAAATTCCCACCAGCTGGCTGAAGCTGAGGGTGGGGCAGGCATCTGTGTCCAGGCAGCTCGTGGGGAAGGGGCTGCTGCTGGTCCAGGCAGCTCGTGGGGAAGGGGCTGCTGGTCCGCAGGTGCTGCCTGTGCACTGCTCTTCCACAGTGACCTGTGGTGGGGAACGGGCAGGAGCAGCGGGAGCTGGGGAGCGAGTAGTGAGTGCTGAGTGCAGCAGAGTCAGGCCGTCCCCTCTCATCTCTGTCAGCATAAATCTGTTGAATTATTTGTTCTGTTTCTGTGCCATCATTTTTCTTCAAGAGAAACGTCACCCTGGTTTCTTAGGTTTTGGTAAGTCATGTCAGGTTATCAATAGCTTTTTGAGGCTGCTGCCCCTGGCCTGTGACTGGGTGGCACCGCTCACCCGCGGTGGCTGATTATGGTCAGATGTGGCAGGTGGCCGGAACTGAGCTCCCATGAGTGACAGGGAAGAAGGCACGTCGTGTGCTTCAGTTATAGACCAGAGCTCGTGTGCGCTTGTCTCTGTACAGTGTGTGCTTCCTGTTTTTCTGTGATGAGGAGGGAGGTGAAGTTAAGTGAACTTTACCTTTCAGAGCAGTGTGGAGCAGGCAGCCCCTGCACGCCCTGCCACCCGCTCAGTGTGGTGACCGGTCACCTGCTGGGCTCCACGGGTTATTTGCTGCAGACTTCTGCACTTCTTTGCTTTGGGATTTGTGGAATGGCGGTCATTAAGGACTCCCTATGGGCTGAGGGGAGCCGCAGCTCTGCCCCTGAGGCCGGCTGGGTGGTCCCTCCACCGAGGCAGCCCCTCGCAGCTAGCCCTGTGCAGTGTCCGCTTGGCCTACTCCGCAGCATCGTAGCTCAGGTCTCACGGTCCAGGCATGGCCTCGTGATGCTGGTTTCCTTTTCTTCGCTGTCAGCGTGTAGTGCTCCTTTCTGTGGCATTGTGGCTTCTTTCTTTCCTTTGCCACTCATCCTCTGTGCCTAGAGGTGCCACGCCAGTTTCGCCATCCACCTGCTATCCTGCCATCCATATGGGTCACCCATGCATGCCTCTTGCCAGCATGCTGTGGGAGGTCTCGTTGAACATGGCCGTCTGGCAGGTCACTGGATGCCGAAGTCCTGGGCAGATTGACAGAGAAGCACACCTCCTGTGTGCCAGGCCCCTTTCCTAAATGTGCTTGCTCTGCATCCCTGGAAAATGCCCCCTTCTCTCCCTCTTGGTCCATCTGAGCCTGTGAGGTCCACGTGGCTCAGTGGTCAGCTCAGATCCTTTCTGAAGAGTAGAAACACCTGGGCCTTGGGGAGAAGCTGTTGCAGAGTGGCTGGGACCAGGGACAGCAGAGGTGCAGACTGATGTGGCAGTTCAGGGAAGGGTTGGGTGTTTGATGGTCCCAGACCAAGGCTGTGGGGCTGGCTCACCCTTCTCTTCTGGCTTCTCCGGAACCCAGTCTCACCAGCAATACTCCTCATCGCACACCACACCTCTGCCCAAGAAGTCCTACTCTAAGATGGACAGCAAGAGCTACAGCATGTATGAGGACTACGAAAACGAGCAGTACGGCGAATACGAGGGCGACGAGGAGGAGGACATGGGCAAGGAGGACTACGACGACTTCACCAAAGAACTCAACCAGTACCGGCGAGCCAAGGAGGGCAGCAGCCGGGGCCGAGGTGAGCGCCTTGCTCAGGCAGCGCCTCCTTCCTGTGGGCCAGGCTCACAGGGCTCCTTTCAAGAGGAGAGAAGCCGTCATGTCAGGTTGTACTGGCGGAGGAGAGGCACTGGGGCTACACGCACGGCCAGGGCTGAGGTTAGGCACAGGAGACGGGGCAGGGGGAGGAACCCAGGCTGCCTACATGAGAGGGGCCAGCATGGCTGAAGGGTTGTTTTTTAGAATTCATTTCCTGGTAAGTGATGGGGGAAGAGCTGGACCTAGCTACTCTGTTATCTGGAGTAGGGTAATTAACCCCCCACGTGCTCAGCCTGACAAAGGTGTGCCTTTAGCCTGTGGACCGCCACGCCTCTGACCTTTGGATCTGAAGTGGGGTGGGGTGAACTGGTGAGTGCCAGTCTCCTGCCAGCCCCCCACCCCAGTGGCAGGGCCTCCAGAACCCTGCTTCCCCAGGTCTCTGCGCTAGGCTCTCGGTCTGGGTGACTGGCGGTCCTTGAAGCAGCTCTTAGTTCTTAGCAAGCTCCCCGGGATAGGCCCTTGGGCCCGCAGCGTGGGGAACAGCTAGGCCGCCGGGGCTGCCAGGAATATAATACAAGCTATACTGTCAGTTACATTGTCGGGTTCCCACACTAAGCGAAGGAAGAGGATGGAGCCTTGGGCCGTGGCTAAGACCCTGCTTAGGCTACCTCTGTCCCACGTTGTGGGGTGTAGGTTTTAGTCCAGCTTCCTGCTCAGGTATACACCCTGGGGAGCAACAGTGATGGCTTGCGTGTTTGGGTCTTGTCACCCACTGCAGACAGCCAGCCGGGTTCCGGGATCCTGGCTTTAGCTGTTGCTGGAATGTGGGTTGTTAATCAGTGAAAGGAAAATTTCTATCTAATTTTCAAGTTAAAAAAACTGAAAGGAAACATTTTTTAAATTAAAAAATTAGTTTAAAAATTAAAATTCATTTAAAAAATGTTTATTGGTAAAGCAGATAAGATCTACAGAGATGAGAGACAGAAAAAGATCTTCCATCTCTTGGTTCACTCCCCAAATGGCCATAACAGCCATAGCTGAGCCAGTGTGAAGCCAGCAGTTTCTTCTGGGTCCCCCACGCAGGAGCAGGGTCCTGAGGCTTTGGGCCGCCCTCAGCTGCTTTCCCAGGCTCATAAACGGAGCTGGATGGCAAGTGGAGCAGCTGGACACGCACCAGGCCCAAACAGATTGATTTTTAACAAGCTGGGCTATTAACCCACCCTGCTCAGGATCTTATTTCAGTGTAGTTAAGATAGACACAGGGCATCTCTTACATATTCTCTGTCCTGCTGTGTGCGTGCTACTGGCAGCAGCTCCTGGTTTGTCCTAGATGCATCTCAGATGCTGATCAGCCACCTGTACTGGTGGCTGCTGTGGTGGACAGTATGACCCTAAGCAGGCAAGTTGGGCAGGGCCGTGTGTGCCGTGGTAGCTGTGTGCCATGAGCACAGGACTGGGCCCTCGGGGCAGGGCTGCCAGGGCAGCTGTGAAGGATTTTGGAGGAAGGAGATGATTGGCTTCAGGCGCCCATGGGCTGCCTGCTGTCCCGCAGCTGGGTTCTGGACCGTGGGACTCACTGTGTGAATTGTGTTTAGGCAGCCGAGGTCGTGGCAGGGGCTACCGGGGCCGCGGAAGCCGTGGAGGATCACGAGGCCGAGGCATGGGCAGGGGCAGCCGAGGCCGGGGCAGAGGCTCTGTGGGAGACCACCCGGAGGATGAAGAGGACTTTTACGACGAGGAGATGGAAGTAAGGTTTTCTGCAGTCCTGGGACCGGGTCTGAGCTGTGTTGCGAGGGCTGTGGGAGGCTCCTCTGTGCTGAAGGTGCAAGGGCACCGTGGCTGTGATGCAGAGGCCCTGCAGGCCCCGGGCTGGAGTTTTCATTTCTGCTGTTGGAATAGGGAAAAGCTACTGAGGGCTTTGGGAAGGGATTGGAGGTGAGCTATGACAGACATCCTGTTCTGGAGACAGGTTTCAGGACTGTCCCCGAGAAAGACTGCCTCAGTGGCGGGGAGCCTGGTGGTTTGTCCATCCCCACAGGGAAGCATGCTCCACGTTTGCCTTCCTGCTCCAGCCTGACACTACCCCACACCAGCACACCCGGCACGCACTGCGGTCTGCCTCCTGGGTGGGGTCAAGGTGGTCAGAGGCATGCGTTTTGGGCTGCACAGCTGCCCTTGGGCAGGTCGGGATGTGTCCTTGGGGACGGTATTGGATGTCCCCTCCTGCCACTTGTCTGTCCTCTCTCCTGGGCTGTTCTAGTACGGAGAGAGCGAGGAGCCCCTGGGAGACGATGACTACGACGAATATTCCAAGGAGCTGAACCAGTATCGCAGGTCCAAGGACAGCCGAGGCCGAGGTGGGCAGCGCTCGGGGGCCAGGTGGGCAGGGTGGCTCCTGGGAAGGGCCAGCCGACTGACCCACTCGGTCTCCTCCGCAGGGTTAAGCCGAGGCCGTGGCCGGGGTTCTCGAGGCCGGGGGAAGGGGATGGGCCGGGGCCGCGGGCGAGGCGGCAGCCGAGGAGGGATGAGCAAGGGCGGCATGAACGACGAGGACGACTTCTATGACGAGGACATGGGCGTGAGTCAGCTCTTCACCCTGATCCCAGCTCTGAGACCACCCAATCCTTGAACCCTGCTCCCGTCAGCCCCCCATTAGCTGCTCAGGGTTAGGACTTTCCTGGGGCATCCTCAGTGTTCAGCGTGCAGTTTCAGCAGCTCCTCTGGATGCGTCCTTGGTGGCGTGCCTTTAGCCTGGAGTGGCTCACGGGAAAGCCCTGCTTCTTGCTGTGGGAGATGGGCTGGTAGGGCATGTGTGAGCAGGACCCTCTGCCCACACAGCGTGGGTCTGTTTCACACTGGGCTGCACCCCGACAAGGCCTGCCTACCCCTCCTCCCCGTCTCCTTGGGCTGGCATTCACTCAGCCTGTCCCCATTGTCTTCCTCATGCCCTTTCATCTAACAGGATGGTGGTGGCGGAAGCTACCGAAGGAGTGACCACGACAAGCCCCACCAGCAGTCTGATAAGAAAGGCAAAGTCATCTGCAAGTACTTCGTGGAAGGCCGGTGCACATGGGTGAGGAGCCCTCACCGTGGCGGGGCACCAGGGGCCAGGTGGCTGGAGGTGGCCCTGGGAGTGTGGGGGTGCCTGAGGAGCTGCCCTGCTCCCCAGTGGGGAGGGCCCACAGTGATATAATACATGTACATGCTTTTGGTTTTAGTGGGAATTTTTTTTGGGGGGGGTGCTGAATTTTCAGCTAAACCATATGATCTCAAACGTGTTTATGGAGGTTGATATTAATAAAAAGTTGGCAAGCGGTGTGTGAAAGCTTTCAGACAGAGAGGGCCTACTCAAACCTTGGCAGGGCCTTCAGTGCAGGCAGGGCCAGCTCGGGGACCTGTGCCGGGGAGTGCTGTGTTTCTCTGTTTAAACATTTGCTTGTTTGAGAGGCAGAGTGGGGGAAGACAGGTTTCTTGCCTGCTGCTTCACTCTCCAGATGCCTGCTCCTGGCTGGCTGAGCATGGATGCCAGGACCAGCACTGCGTGGGTCTCCTGTGTGGGTGGCAAGGCCCAGATCCTTGAACCATCACTGTTGGAAAGTTGGATTGCAGAGCAGTGCTGTGCCATGGGTTACAGGCCTTGCGAGCAGCAGCTCAGCGCGCTGTGCCAGCCTTGGCCCAGGCTGAGTGTTGAAGGACACAGGTGGAATTCAGTGTTAGTCAAGCATCTTAGCTGCATACAAGGCAACGGATGAGTATCTGATATAATTCAGGGACTTTTAGAAATTTGAAATTTTGAAACTTGGAGAAGAGAGGACAAGGGATAGCTTCTGTCTTCTGTTTCCGGCGATGGTGAATGAGCCCTGAGGGGGGAGGAGGAAGAGAAGGAGTCAGGGTCGGACACACCTTGGAGCTTCCACATAGGCGTGCTTGTGTTCATGGGATCCCGGGACGGTACCAGACTTGCTGGCTCCCCGGAACCTCCCATCTGTCCTGGTATCACTAGAAATTCTTGCCTTCTGTCCTTGTGGTTGGGCAGCGGCCTCCCATCTGAGGGCCTGGGCAGGAGATTGGGTGAGCAGTCTGAATTCAGGAATGTGCTCCTTGGGGTCACCTGCCCATGTCTGATGGCTTGGACATGCAGTGTTTTAAGCTGGACACATTCTCTCCCCAACCACGTCAGGGCGATGTTGGCAGGGTAAAGGAGAGGCTGGCTTAGGGCTCGGTGAGCAGTAAGAAAGCAGCCAGCAGTTGAGGAAGAGGAAGGAGTGACCAACTGCAGCAGAGGGTGTGCAGTGGGGGAGGGGGGCTGGTGCACCTTGCAGAGCTGGGCTCACATTGTGAGCAGGGCAGTGGGTGCACAGGCCTGCCCTTCCTGCGCCTGGAGACCCTGCACACCACCAGTGCCAAGGCTGCTTCCCCTGGCACAGCGTCCCGAGGGCTCGCCATCCCATCTCCTTCCCTTTCTCTTCCAGGGAGACCACTGCAATTTTAGCCATGACATTGAGCTGCCGAAGAAACGAGAGCTGTGCAAGTTTTACATCACTGGATTTTGCGCGCGAGCCGAGAATTGCCCGTACATGCATGATATCCTTGGGCAGCTGCGGGCGCCCAGTAGGGCCGAGGCATTCCTGCCCTCACGGGGTAGTGACTGTTCTCATCCTGCCTGTTCTCTGTGCACCTGTGGGCCCATCTGTACTGATGCTGCGCCCATTTCACAGCTGACTAAACTGAGGCAAAAGCCCTTGTTCTCCCTTGAGTACGCACTCAAGGCTGGTCCAAACCATTGCCTGGCTCTGGGATTTTCCACTTCACACAGGAGTCTCTGACTCAAGTTACTGCGAAGCACTGGGCACCCCGAGCAGATCTCCTCTTTCCTCTTCCCAAGTCCAGGGCAGTTGGAGCTCTCCCACAGGTGGGTTCCTTCCACAAAATGAAATATGAGCCTTAACGTGCCGTGAACGTGACTTCCCGTGTAAGCTGTACCACACAACTGGGAACTGCATCAATGGCGATGACTGCATGTTCTCCCACGACCCGCTGACGGAAGAGACGCGCGAGCTGCTAGATAAGGTACTGCCTGGGCGGGCACCGGGGCCAGGCGCGCACCATGGCTGTGCAGCCATCTAAGGAGGCAGTGGGACCGCAGTGCTCTGCAGACGGCTGGGCTGGCTACAAGGGTGTCTGGTCTCTGGCCAGGGCAGCTGTGGCTGTTTTTCGGGGTGAAGGTGGGAAGCAGTGACATAAGAGGAAGGCCTCCAAGATTTCACAATATATCTAGGAGAGGGGAGGGCTCTGTTCTGGGTGAGAGCTGTCTGCAGCTCGTAGTGACCCTTGGAACGAGATCTGCAGAGGAGGTGACCCCCCCGGTAAAGGGTCCCTGGAAAGCCTCCCTGGTGTGGTGCTGTTGCTGAGGAGCCAGGCCGAGGTGTGTGGAGCCCAAGGGCCTGACCCCGGCCCCTTGATGCACTTGAGAGTGAGTGGCCAAAGCCGTTCTCCTTTCCAGCAAAGCCTTCCTGCCTTCTAGAGGTCCAAGGACTTGGGGGAATGGGCGATTCTCAAGACGGAGAGAAGGAACACACCCCTGAGCCCCAGTTTCAGGAGTCGGTCCTGCTAACTGCTGACCGGAGTTACCTGGGAGGGCTTGGGGCCCAGGGAGCCCCACACAGACATCCTAGGGGAAAGTACTCACTGTGGCTGGTTCCTGGGCGGCTGGCTACTGTGTGGTTAAGTAGCCATCTATCTAGAGTCTGGAGTAGTGGAAGTAGACCTAAGTGGCAGAACCCGGAGTGGCCACTTTGCATTGGGTAGATCCGACAATACCTGGCCGAGAGTGCCCCCTGCTGGAGGCTCAGTGTGCACTCACAACTGGCGGTGTTCACAGACATCCACCAAGCCTCACATAGTTCCTTTTAAACCATGTCCAGTAGATAGAAACATAAGGTTGATTTTTCTTTTCCTTTATTTTGTTTTATTTACTTGTTTTTTGTTGGGGATAAGTTACATTACTTAATGGCAGAGTGACAGAGATGTTCTGTCTTCTGGTTCACTTCCCAGAGGCCAGCCTGGACATGGGCCAGGCTGAAGGCTGGAGCCAGAGCTCCGTCAGGCTCTGCCCTGGGGTGGCAGGAGCCCAAGCCCTTGGGTTGGCGTCTGCTGCCTCTCTACATGTGCATCAGCAGGAAGAACCAGTCCTCCGCTGGCTCACCTCCCTGGCGCCCCCAGCCAGGGCTGTAGCAGGCCGCAGCCAGGAGCCTAGAATTCCATTTGGCTTCCCACGTGTGTGACTAGGATCCAACTCGGGCCAGCTCCTTAGCTGCTGCCCCAGGCATTTACACAAGCAGCTGGGTTGGGGGTCAAGCTGACGCTCAGGCAGGGCTGCCCTCTGCACCACAGCAGTGCCTTCCCAGAGTCTGTTTGTCAATAGCAGACATTCGTGAGTCAGGACTCACTGCCAGGAGTCTTTCCTGCCTGCGGGAGCACACAGTAGGGCACTCCAGGTAGAAGCCAGAGGGATGGGGTGTAGCTGATGTATCAGACACAGAGAGGATGCCTGGCTTGTTTCTTGGCCCACCACCCCCCCCACGATGACCCTGGGCTGCAACCCCAGTCTCCCACAGTGATGAGAGACCCCCCAAGGCCGATGGCAGGAGGCTGGAGTTGGGAGTGTGAGCAGGCCTCGAACCCAGGGGCCCTGGGCAGGGTGTGACTCTGTTAGCCACCTCTGGACAACTGTGAGGCCAGACGCCTGCCCCCACCACACCCGGGAGAGTCTCAAAGGCATCGTCAGTCCTCCGCTGCCCCACGTGCGATCCCAGCAGGTGCCGAGCGCACATTCCCTGGGGAAGCGTACTAGCATCAGTGATGGAAAGGCGAAGTGCAGAGTAACCCTCTGGAGAGGGGCTGGGGAACTTCCTTGTCCAGACACTGTGGTGTGCTCAGGCAGTGGGGGCACGGGCCCCAGGGGGAGGCTGCCCCCTCCCTGCCTTTCTCTTTGGTTTTCTTTCCATCTTTCTAAATACAGCAGGGTTGAAGCTCACTTCTGGGTGAGGATGCAGACTAGGGAGCAGGTGGCCACACACTGGGGAGCCCCGCCTGCTTCGTCTGCTAGTCCCGTGTCCCCCGTTCGCTTTACTGCCAGTCGGCTGTGTGTGCACGCATGCATGTGTGCTGGTGTGTTCTTCCCAGATGCTGCGTGTAGGGGTGTGTGCAGGGGCATCTCCGCCTCGTGCTGTCTGCTGCTGGGCACGTGCATTGTGGGAATGCTCTAAATTGGTTTTTTGGTTTTCAGTTGAAGATCATTGATTTGTTTTCAGTTTGAGGCAGAAACTTGGAGTTTGTGAGCAATAGCCTCCTTGTGTACATGGTATATGTGGCCCCCACATCTCTGCCCACAGCCGTGGCACCGTACTTTGCTGACCTTGGTCCTGGCTGCTGTCCTGCTTTTGTAGGACTCGGTGATGTCTGTGATGGGGAGGGAAGCTTTGTATGCTGGCCGAGTCGGGGAGGTTTGCAAACGGAGGTGTGCAAACCAGTGTGTCGGGCAGGATGGCCCGGGCACTGCGAGGGAGGGCACTGTGGATGGCTTCAGTGACATGCCCAGCCGGAGCCTTGCTTCGCTCAGGCACCAGGCCCCATCTTCTGGGTGCAGGGCCGTGAGGGGTGCGTTCTGGGCTGACAACAGGAAGCAAGAGCAGCCCTAAGGCCAGGGAGGGAGCGTCAGGGAGTCTGTCCCCCGCAGAGGGCAGACCGTGGGGGTCAGGTGGGAGGGGAGGCTCGGGTGGAATCTGTGCCCAGTGCTGTTCCTGGTTAGTGATGTGCTCGGACTTTGCCTGTCCCTTCAGGCCTTAACTTCTGATGTACAGAGCTTTGTGGCGCTGTGGGGATGAGAGGGGAAACCAGGGCCACAGGGCAGGGTGCAGTAGGAAGGACAGCTGAGCCACGCAAGCGCCAGCAGTCAGCTGCAGGCCAAGGTTATAGTCAGACTGCACTCTGGATCCTGGCTTGGGGCTGAGGGGCTTGTGTGGCTCTGGGGTGATGGAGGTGTGGCCAGCTGGAGAAGGACGGGTGTTGAGTAAAGGAGCCCCAACCCAGAGTGGGGAGCACCGGAGCATGAAGGTCCGCAGGCTTGGCCCCAAAAGCTGTAATTCTGTTCCATTGCCTGCTGGCCTCCACCTACCTGGTGTGGGTGCAGTGGCCTGTGGAGCGCAGGCAGGAATGGAGCGACGTGGGCTTGGCTTTTGCTGCTGTGGCTCACCCAGAGAGAGTGTGCTGGTTCTTAGTGTGTGCCCAGCACTGGGGCTGGGGGAGTGTGGGCGGGTACTGACAGCCTATAGGGTTACTGGCAGAGCTGGCCTCGCCATATGGGGGACCCTGAATTGCTGAGGCGTCCACCTGCTGGATTGCCAGCCCACATTTCTGAGCTGCGTTAGAGTTTGCTGGGTCTAGGGGATCTGTGCTGCTGTTCCCCAGGCAATCCCAGGCTCGGGCTAGCCAGCTTGCCGGGAGGCGCTGGGTGACTGTCTTCCCCTGAGTGAGAGGGCAAAGTGTGTGGAGGATGCCCAGGGAGCAAGTCCTCTCCGAGGTGGGTCACATGGGAAGGCGTGGGAGACTCCCTGCCGGCTTTCCCCAGCGCATGCTCACCCAGGCAGCTCACCCAGAGGGTGCCCAAATCCCAAACTCATGAAAAAAAGCAGGTGTGAGGTGTCTGCACAGTGTAGGCCTGTGAGCCCTGCCCACTGGTTGGAGGTTTCTGGGTACCTTCCCAAATCCAGACCCCGCGAGAGCCTGCGGCTTCTCTGCGGCCCCACGGGGTCCTGACAAGCAGGTGCAGCTTTCAGTCACTCGGTGATGATCTGTGTGAACCCAGCCCTGCACTGGGTCCTGGGCATATGGCAGGGAAAGAAGGTGAGCCTTCCACAGGCGAGGCAAAGCTGGACATGTGGCAGGGTGCTAGGAGTGAGGACGGGGACAAGAGACAGGACAACACTGAGGTGACCATTAAAAAGAGAGCCAGCAGTGGGTGACCAAAAGCCACACACTTGGAGGAAGGGTGTCAGGTGGGAGGGACTACAATGTGCCAGCACCTGCTTAGATGTCTCGCTACACATGGTCAGGGGCTGAGTTTTATTGTATGTGAAAGGAGAGACCCTTAAAACTCAGCTAGGACAGTGGAATACTACTTGGTTGTCAAAAGGAATTGGGCACTATCAGATGACAAAATCTAGCAGAAGCGTGCCAGTCACGAGAGGCACGCTGTGGACAGTTCTGTGTCTGTGTGTGTGTGGATCCAGTGATTGTAGGCTGCAAGCAGATCGGTGGTCGCCATGGTGAGCGGGCTGGGACGCGGACTGGCTGCTTCGTGGGCACAGGGCCTGCGGTGGGGCTCAGGAACACAAAGGCGGAGGTCGCCGAGGACACACTGCATCTGGGATGTGCACTTCTGTAGAACGGCTTCCCGGGGACTTGGGTTGTGAAGAGGAGTCAGTTTTTGGCCGAGTGCTGTCAGAGCCTTGGGGCCGGCTCCAGCTCTTCCTCAGAAAACCCAGGTGTCCACGCTGCAGCGTGCGGGTCCCTCCCTCGGGGTCACCCCGCCACTCTCTTTATCCCGTAGATGCTGGCTGATGATGCTGAGGCGGGCGCTGAGGATGAGAAGGAAGTTGAGGAACTGAAAAAGCAGGGCATCAACCCCCTGCCCAAGCCACCTCCCGGCGTGGGGCTCCTGCCCACTCCCCCACGGCCCCCTGGCCCTCCAGCCCCCACATCACCCAACGGTAGACCCATGCAGGGCGGCCCTCCGCCACCACCGCCGCCCCCACCACCGCCCCCTGGGCCCCCTCCGATGCCCATGCCAGTGCATGAGCCCCTGTCCCCGCAGCAGCTGCAGCAGCAGCAGGACATGTACAGCAAGAAGATCCCTTCCTTGTTTGAGATCGTGGTGCGGCCCACGGGACAGCTGGCTGAGAAGCTGGGCGTGAGGTGAGTACTGCGGCCACAGGGCCTCCCTTGGAAGTTGGAATCCTGGTGCAGGCCCCGACTTTGGGTCCTCACCTCACCTCCTGGGGGCTGGGACCCAGCTGTTGTTCCGCAGCTGTTTTCACCTCACAGGCCATGTTTCTTCCTCTAGGTTCCCTGGACCCGGTGCACCTCCAGGACCAATGGGTCCTGGGCCCAACATGGGGCCTCCAGGGCCTATGGGGGGCCCCATGCACCCTGACATGCACCCAGATATGCATCCTGACATGCACCCAGATATGCACCCGGACATGCCAATGGGCCCTGGCATGAACCCTGGCCCGCCCATGGGCCCCGGTGGCCCCCCAATGATGCCCTATGGTCCTGGAGACTCCCCGCATTCTGGAATGATGCCTCCCATCCCACCAGCCCAGAACTTCTATGAGAACTTCTACCAGCAGCAGGAGGGCATGGAGATGGAGCAAGGACTCATGGGGGATTCAGGTATGTAGTGCACCGGGTTGGCACAAGGGCCACTTGGTTTTGCTGAAGGGAGTAGTCTGGGAGTTGTCATCTGTGGCCCAGGTGTCTGGAAGCATGCACCCAACCCCATCCATGTCCCACTGAGTGAGTGTCCCAGTATCGGAGTTGTCACCCTGTGGAGCAGGGCACTGTTTGCTGCCCAGCAGTCCTGGGAACATTGTCTCGGCAAGCCAGAAATCAGGAGTAGGTTTCTGTCAGAACTTAGGTGTCCTGACTGAAGCCACCTCCTTCCAGACAATTCTCAGCTTGCTAGTGTCAACCTGTGACTGCTTGTTCTGTCCCATGATTGGCCATTTTACTTGCTTCATTACTTCCTGTTTTGTCGTCAACTTGTGTATAAAATGCACCATCAAAGGTTATGGGGTCAGTCTTTGGGGAGGTGGGGATTGTGGATTTGCAGCTGTGCAGAGGTCAAAGTGAGCGAGGCGCCATGGCCTCGGCTGCAGCCGCCTCTCTCAGTGTGGGGGAAGCACGGTGGAAGTAAGTGAGTCAGCTTGTTCCCGGTGGCCATGGTTGGCAAAAGGGCTGAAGCAGTGACGAGCCTCAGACATGTGACAGCAGGCCGGAGCAGGCCGGGCAGGGCCAGCGTGTGTGCAGAGGACAGCAGCTGCTAAAGCCAGTTCGTCGAGCATGAAAGGCTAGGGAGCCTGGCAGGGCGGTCTCGCCACCATGAAGAGGGTGGGCATATACGAGGGTGATGGGTGCTGGGAGACTGGGGGCTGTTCTGTGCCATCCTGGGTAGGGAGGAGCAGGCGATGGCCCTGCCACGACCTGAAGTAGCAGGCTCGGGCTTCAGGCTTCGGATCCAGCGCTGTGAGTCAGTGGGAGCCCCGTGCGTGCTGGCAGGGAGCAGGAGAAGCTCAGAGGGTGCTGCGCGTGCCACGTGTGGGGCAGTGCTTCCTCTTTGGCTACTTGGAGTGTGGGCTAGTCAAGACCCTGTGGAAGCCTCTCACTCTGAGATTGATTGATTGATTGATTGATTTGAAAGGCAGAGACAAAGAGAGTGTGAGGGACAGGGAGGGAGATCTTCCATCCGCCGGTTCACTCCCAGATGCGCACATGCGATGCCGTTGCTACAGGCTTCACCTGCTATGTTACAGTGCTGCACCCCCCTTTTTTGTTGTTAAAATGTATTTACATTAGAAATGACTCCCATGTCATAAGACCTGCCATTTGAAGTATGTGGAGTTGGTTTTTACCATCTTGATGGTTGGGCAGTCTCAGGCTGTGGCTCTCCCTTGTGGGTCCCTGACCGGCCTGTCTCCTGAGCCCCTGTGTCCAGCTTCCACGTGGCCGAGGTAGCCTTTCACTGGTTGCCTTGCATACCCTTGTACATCTGAGGGCTGTTCGGCTTCTGGACCTGCGTTACGGGAGTGCTTTCCTGGCAGCAGTGGCCGCACACCATGCCCAGGCGGGAGAGTGGCGGCCCGGGTGACAGCTCCCACGTGAGGGATCTGCTGCGGGAGGGGCCTTATGGCTTCTTTTTTGTATATATTTGTTTTGTTTTCACTTTTCTTTTTTTATATTTATATTTTTAAGATTTCATTTTATTGGAAATGCAGATTTACAGAGAGAGGATTCTTCATCCACTGATTCACTGCCCAAATGCCTGCAATGGCTAGGGTGGGCCAGGCCAAAGCCACGGGTCTGGAGCTTCTTCAGGGTCTGCCGTCTGGGTACAGGGTCTCGAGGTTTTAGATCACGGTACAGTGCTTTCCCATGCCGTAAGCAGGGACTTGAATTAGAAGTGGAACAGCCAGGACGTGACTGATGCCCATATGGACGCCAGTGCCCAGGTGGGGGAGTACCCTGTTGACCAGGGTGCCACCACACCATCCCTTTTTCTTTTTTTAAGATCTATTTCTTTGAAGGGCAGAATTACACACAGACAGACAGATATCGTATCCACTGCTTCATTTCCCAAATGTCCATACCGGCTGCGGCTGAACAGGACAAAGCCGCCGCAGCCAGGAGCTTCTTCTGGATCTCTCACATGGATGCAGATGCCCAAGAATTGGAACATTCTTCCTTGCTTTCCCAGGAACATTAGCAGAGAGCTGCATTAGAAGTAGAACAGCCAGGAATTTGATCCCATGAGGGATGTGGAAAGGGTTGCAGGCTGTGGTTTAATGTATTAGGCCACAATGCTGCCACTCCTAAGATTTTTTTTAAATTTATTTTTATTATTATTTTTCATTGGAAAGGCGGATATACAGAGAGGAGGAGAGACAGAGAGGAAGATCTTCCGTCCGATGATTCACTCCCCAAGTGAGCGCAACGGCTGATGCCATGCCAATCCGAAGTCAGGAGCCTCTTCCGGGTCTCCCACGCGGGTGCAGGGTCCCAAAGCTTTGGGCCGTCCTCGACTGCTCTCCCAGGCCATAGGCAGGGAGCTGGAAGGGAAGCGGGGCCACCGGGATAGAACCGGCGCCCATATGGGATCCTGGGCATGCAAGACGAGGACCTTAACCACTGCGCCACCGCACCGGGCCCCTAAGATTTTTTTCTTTTAATAGGGCCCAGTACAACGGCTCAATTGGTTAATCCTCTTCCTCTTGTAAGCGCTAGGATCCCACACGGGTATAGGGTTGTGTCCCAGCTGCTCCACTTCCCATCCAGCTCCCTGCCTGTATCCTGGGAAAGCAGTGGAGGACGGCCCAAAGCCTTGGGACCCTGCACCCGTGTGGAGGACCAAGAAGAAGCTCCTGGCTTCACATCTGCTCAGCTGTGGCTGTTGCAGCAGCTTGGGGAGTGAACCAGTAGACAGATCTTTGTCTCTGTCCTTCTCTGTAAATCTGACTTTCCAATGAAAATAATAAAAAAAGAGAGAGATGTTCATTTTACCCCCCAAATGAACGCAGCAGCCAGCTCTGGACCAGGTCATGGCCGGGAGCTTCATCTGGGTCTCTTACATGGGTGACAGGAGCCAGGTCTTTGGCAGGGAGCAAGGGGAGCAGCGTCGTAGGGATGTCCCTGTCCTAGGCAGCGGCTCCACCTGCTGTGCCACAGTGACTCCTTCAAGCTGGCACCCCCTTCAGCCCCCAACCCCTTTCTACCAAGCCGGTCAGTGGAGTTCCTGGGGTGCAGGGACTGATGGCCGAGGACTGCGCCAGGGTGAGGTCAGAGCCAGGGTGGCAGCAGCTGTGGTTCCTTCTGTTTCCTCCTGGTTTTCATTTAGAGTGGTTGAGCTCAAGTGTGAGCTCCCGTGTTTCTTGATTGATTGTTACCAAGTGAGCAGGAAACTCCCGGCAGCAAGCATTTAGAGCAGACCAGGGCTGTGGCAGGTGGCGATGGGGGACCGAGGCCTGCCGCCCGCATGGGGTCTCCTTCCCAGAAGAGCCGTCTGTGTGTCTTTTGAATTCTTTCTTTGCATCTCACAACCACGTGTGCCGTGTTGTCTATCTCCTGTCATGCACCGCTTTTCAGGGGACTTCATTCTTGTCGCCGCCTTCGCCACCGTCGCTGCCCTGCTCCCGTGGAGGGCAGCCCGATTGGCTGTGTGTTGTCAGCAGGCTTGGGGCAGGGGGTGGAGTTGGCCCCTCGTGGCCCTCGACGTGAACCCCTGGTTCTTCCTGCCACAGAGGACTACGGGCACTACGAAGAGCTGCAGGGGGAGCCTGGGGAGCGCCTCTTCCCCGAGCACCCCGTGGAGCCCGACAGCTTCTCTGAGGGAGGGCCCCCAGGCCGGCCGAAGGCGGGCGCCGGTGTCCCCGACTTCCTGCCCTCGGCCCAGAGGGCCCTGTACCTGAGGATCCAGCAGAAGCAGCAGGAGGAGGAGGAGAGAGCGAGGAGGCTGGCTGAGAGCAGCAAGCAGGACCGGGAGAATGAGGAAGGCAGGTGTCCTCCCAGGGGCGAGCGGCGGGGGCGCCCCGGCTGGCCCGCTGGGCTGCTGCATGTCCTGGAGACAACTGCAAGTCAAGGCGGACCTGAGCGTGGCTTCCTGGGGGGAGGAGGGGGTGGCACAGGCAGCACAGCTGACTGCTGGAGCCTTTCCGGGGGGCCTTTAGGAGAGACCCTCACAGCCCCTTTTCCCCAGACCAAACTCGAGCTGGGAGGTCAAACCCTATGTTGCAAGAAGCCTGTATACTGATGATAGTCACCATGAGATTGATTTTTGGGGTTCCCCATGCCTGGCTGAAAGGGGCATGTGTCTACAACCTGAATCCTGAGGCCCAGGCTTGGAGCCACAGGAAGAGGGACCCGCAGTGCCTCCCCTGGTGCCCCGAGGGTGCCTGGGCCAGAGCCTGGGCCTGCCCACGTGGCCCTGCTTGGGTTCAGTACCTGTTTTTCCCTGGGACACGGTAGCCTCGTGAGGGGCCTGGGCCAAGAACCCGAGAACCCCTTACCCTGGGAGGGCAGTCAGTGGTTGCTGCTGTCTAGACTTGGAGGGAGAAGAGGGCCCAAAACCCAGCAAGCCACAGGGGGGTGGCCTGGAGGGTGAGAGGCGGCGGCAGAGCCTTGGGGAGCCCTCCCCGTGCCCAGCCCCATGCTTCCACACCCCAGAGCCCGGGAAGGGGAGGGGGCATGGCCCAAGTCTGAGAAGGGAGCGCCGAGGAGCCCTCTGCCCCAGGGACCGTCGCGGGGTCTGAATGATGTTGGGGCTGTGGTGGCCACTCATGCCCTCTGCCCCTCTGCTCTTCCTCAGGGGATACCGGCAACTGGTACTCGAGTGATGAGGACGAGGGCGGAAGCAGCATGACCTCCATACTGAAGACCCTGAGACAGCAGACGTCCAGCCGGCCCCAGACTGCGGCTGGGGAGCTGAGCGGCAGTGGGCTGGGGGACCCTCGCCTCCAGAAGGGACACTCCACAGGAAGCCGACTGGCTGACCCGCGCCTAAGCCGGGACCCCAGACTCAGCCGTCATGCTGAGGCTGCTGCAGGACCAGGCCTGGGGGACACGGGGCCCTGTGACCCCCGACTTGCTCGCTCCCTGCCTGCCTCCAAGCCTGAGAGTGCCCTCCATTGCAGCCCCGCAGGCCCAAGCAGCTCCAAGGGCTCTGGGCCGACCACCACCGAAGAGGAGGACGGAGAGCGGGCCCTGCGGGAGAAGGCTGTGAACATCCCGCTGGACCCGCTGCCCGGACACCCGCTGCGGGACCCTCGGTCACAGCTGCAGCAGTTCAGCCATATCAAGAAGGATGTGACCCTGAGCCGGCCGACCTTCGCCCGCAACGTGCTCTGGAACCCGGAGGACCTAATCCCACTGCCTGTCCCCAAGCAGGATGTAGTGCCCCCTGTGCCTGCTGCCCTGCAGGCCATGCCCACACTGGACCCCAGGTTACACCGGTCCACCTCCTCGGGGCCCACGAGTGCCCGGCAGCGCCCAGGTACCTCTGCGGACCCCAGCGTGCCTGGCTCCAACCTGCCCGACTTCGAACTCCTCTCTCGAATCCTCAAGACTGTTAATGCTACCGGCCCCTCCTCAACAGCCCCTGGCACGAGCGACAAACCCAGCGACCCCCGGGTGCGAAAGGCCCCCACTGACCCTCGGCTGCAGAAACCAGCTGACCCAGCGGCCTCCCGGGCGGCCAAGCCCAGCCCCCCTGAAGCAGCCTCCCCGTCCTCCAGCCCCAGCGGGGAGTCCTCTCCACCAGCAACGGCTCCCTACGACCCCCGCCTGCTGGCCGCCGGCGGGCTGGGCCAGGGCAGCAGCTGTGGGCAGAGCAGTGTGCTGAGTGGCATCAGCCTTTATGACCCGAGGACTCCCAACGCTGGTGGCAAAGCCACAGAGCCAGCTGCTGAGGGGGGTGCCCAGCCCAAGGGCACCGAGGGCAACGGCAAAGGTGCGGCCTCCAAAGCCAAGGAGCCTCCCTTCATCCGCAAGTCCGCCCTGGAGCAGCCCGAAGCAGGGAAGGCCAGCAGTGCCGAGGGGGGCACGGCCACAGACCGCTACAACAGCTACAACCGGCCCCGGCCCAAGACCACCACGGCCCCGGCCGGGGCCACAGCCACCCCGCCCCCCGAGGGTACTGCACCCCAACCTGGGGTGCACAGCCTGCCCGTGCCCACCCTCTTCGGGACCGTGAAGGCAGCACCCAAGTCGGGCTCAGGAAGCCCGTTTGCAGGCAACAGCCCAGCCCGCGAGGGGGAGCAGGACGCCGGATCGCTGAAAGATGTTTTTAAAGGCTTTGACCCCACTGCCTCCCCCTTCTGCCAGTAGTGCAAAGCGCTCTTTTCCACCCGCCCCAGGGTGCCGATCTAGGGCGCTGGAGCCGGGGATTTAGGGGTGGGGTGGCTCTGGGTGATCTTTCCTTTTTCTTTGTTTCTTTTTTCTTTTTTTTTTTTTTTTCCTGAGCAGTACTTCCTTTGAAGCTTATAAATTGTATGTAAACACCTTCAGTTCTGGTCAGTGCTGCGGGGCTCCTGGCCTCCCACTGCGATCCCACTTGGACACTGGAGCCGTTACAGGTCCACATGCCTCGGTGGAGGTGGATCCCCGGCCTGGTGCCCCGGGGTCTGGTGGGTTTTCTAGGCAAAGCTTGGCAACCCTTGGCGCTCACCAAAGGACAGCAGGCATCCAAGAAGGCACTGAGAGCAGCAGGAGCTGGAGGGGAGACTGAGGCAGGCCTGGTAGGAGTAGGGTTGAGCAGTGCCAGGACTGTGGGCTCGGCAGCATCCTTGGTGTCCCGTGCTGGGAGGCGCAGATTCCTTGGCACCCTGGGTGCTTTGCTTCCTGCACCCAGTGCAGATCATGCCCTGCAGCCTGCAGCTGGAGGGCCCCTCGGAGCCAGGTGGACCTTCTGTCAGTATTACCTGCCCTCCCCTGTCCTGTCCCAAGGGGTCTGCCCACCGCCTCAGTGGCCGCCGCGCCCCGGTGCCTGCACCGCCCCGGCGCTTGAGGATAGCTCAAGGATCCGCAGTGTGTCCACTCCGCCAGAGTCCTAAGCAGGGGACCTGGGACAGCTGTGCCCGCTTGACCCGTGGTGGGAGTCCCGGGGCTGGCTGGCTCACTGTGTGCTATGTGCTTTCATTTGTGTACTATTTCCCAGGGGGGCCTATGGGAAGGAAAGAAGGCTGAAGCCAGTTTGGGGTGGGTGGGCTACACTGGGGCCCTCCTTTTCCAGGAGGGGCGGGTATCTGTTGGCGCTGGCTCCTCCGCAGCCCTGCCACGATGGCTGAGGGAGGTACGTGTAGCCACAGCCCTGTGCACAAGGCCTGAGGAGGCTGGGCAGTGGGCAGAGACCCCGAGTCCTTCATGGGCGCATTCCCTGCTAACAGTGTGCAGAGGTGGGGGGCCCTCCATCGAAGACTTCCCTCCCGTTCTTCAGAAGGAAAATACAAGATCCCGAGTCATTTGGGAGTGGGAAGCTGGGTAGGGAAGGCCAGCAGGGTCCGTGTGCGGGGGTTGGGTCTGCGTGATCTGCCCGCCTGGTCTGTTTTGTTTTGAAGAATCATCAGTGAGGTTGTTCCCCAGCCCCCAGCTGGGCCACAGCCACGGGTTTATGAGATGAGTAAGAATACACGGTGTAGCGATGTTTGCGTTTTTTTTTTTCCCCTCCTTTTGAGATTTTTTTTTTTTTTTGGTTAAAAAAAATACTTTTTTAAAACCAAAATCTTTGGATGAAATAAATAGAAGCTGGAACCGTCCTCTTGGAATGTTCAGCCTAAGAACCTCATGGGACATGAATTTCCCCCAAATTCTCTTTTGCCATCAGGCCGAGCTTTTAAAGAAAAAAAAAAAATTGTTCTCTAACCAGGATTGTAACAAAAGTGTAAATACTATTTCAGAGTTGAAGTTGATGGTGCAAATATGTATATAACGTACTGTATTTTTACAATGATCGTCGCATGACCCTCTCCACCCCCTTTTTGTACTCCATATCTGTCTTCCAGAAATGTCACCTGCCTTTTCTCCTGTGGTCTCTTAATCCGATAATTGTATTACTGCCATTAAAGGATGCAGTTATTTTAAAAAGCCTGTTGCTCGGTGCCTGCGCCGTTCCCACCGTCTCCTGTGCCGGGGTTAACAAAAGGGTACTGGGACCCCACTTCCTGTGGCCGCCCCAGGAAGCACCCCTGGCAGCTGTGTCCACCCATGAGCTCATGATGGACAGAGCATCGAGCCCCCTTCCCACCTGGCAGCTCGGGGTTCTCTGTGGGTTGAGGGGCGTGCTTCAGGACCCAGTCCAGGGCTCGGGGTGGGGAGGGTACATATGCGTCTTGGCCTGTTTTGACCTCCGTGTTAAACAGTAGCCTAGCAGCTAAAGTCCTTGCCTTGTATATGTCAGGATCTCATCTGAGTGCCAGTTCATATCATGGCTGCTCCACTTCCCGTCCAGTTTCTGCTTGTATCCTGGGAAAGCAGTAGAGGAAGGCCAAGACTTTGAGACCCTGTACCCATGTGGAGGCCCGGAAGAAGCTCCTTGCTTCAGATCGGCTCAACTCTGGCTGTTGTGGCCACTGTACTCATTACCACGGATGGAGTGACTGGAGATGTGGTTATGGAGGTCAGAACTGCCGCGGTGTGATGGCCATATCCTGCAGCCAAGCCAAGAGCAGACAACGGGGCCTACTTTCCAGGCCTGTGAGCCGGAGGCACCTCCCAGAAGCCCCTGGCAGACTCCCTGGGCCCCGTCTGCCTTGGACCCTGGCAAATGCTCGTGGTACAGTCCTGAGGCCAACAAAAACAGGCTTGGAGCCAAGCTACTTGGGTAACGGACAGCTAAGCCCCGAGGGAAGCCAGCAGGGTTGGCATCAATGAGCACTGGCCTCACCAGCGTCTCGGCGCACTTGGCGTAAGTACTGTGAGGCACTGGGTACCAGCAGAGAGCCGTTGGCTGGGATGAGCACAAGAGGAGGGCGGGCCGGGCCTGGTAAGACTTGCAGGACATGTTGGGGGTCGGGGTTGAGCTTGAGTTAGAGTAGGGTGGTGATAAAGCTCATTGGGGTGCAGTCCAAAACCTTTGCAGCCAGGGCAAGATGGGGGACAGGGAGCCTGGTGGGACGAAGAGGTGGGCAGGGGTGCAGAGGACAGGAGCTTGGTTGTAGGGCTGGAGGTAGCAGGGGCCAGTTCCCTGGCTGAATGGGCACAAACAGGAGTGATCTAGCAAGGGTGGCTTGAGACCCAGAGCCCTGGGCACCAGGCCTGGGAGGTGTCTTTCAGAAAGTTTATCCTTGAAGCCAGCGAGGAGTACGTGTCACTCAGCATGTTCAAGGCACCTCAAGGAAGACACACAGAGACTGATGGAGGACAGCAGTGGCCCTGGGCATCAGCTGGTAAGGGAGGCCCCTCGCCTGGCACCCGGACACAGCCAGCTGCAGCCCTCTGCCAGCCTGTCCATCACAGTCACTGATGTTCCAAGTAAGCCTCAGGCACCAGGTGGCAGCCCAGCCCTCAGCAGCCGCATCCTCGGAGGTCAGTATCCACAGTTCCCTTCACCTGTGTTTCTGGCAGGATTTCCATATTGTGAAACCTTACCTGTACCTCGGGTGGGCTGTAAGACGTGTGCACCTGAGATCCAAGCCCCCATCAGTAAAACTAGAATGTTCCAGACCACTTCCTGTCCACCCAACTTCCAGGGACAAACTCTGCCCTGGGGTTTCCCTCTCAGCATCTCGCCTGCATTCGAGTTGGTGTGTGGGCCAACAGCTGGGTGCTGTCTTCACTGGGCAATACCCCGCCGGACAGATCGGCTGCTGAAGGCTGCTGAGGGCGCTCCCAGTTTGGGGTGATGGTGAATGAAACAGCCATAAAGACTTGCTTTAGTTTTATTTTTTATTAAAAAAAAAAAAGACTTGTTATATAAGACATGTAGATTTCTTGTATAGATGTAGATATGAAATTCTCCAGGGTCAAAAAGTAGGCTTGAGATTGTTTTTATCAGAGGGTATATTTTATTTTATTTTTAATTTTTTTTTTTAAATCATCAACTTTTTTTTTACTTTTTTTTTTTTTATTGCAAAGTCAGATATACAGAGAGGAGGAGAGACAGAGCGGAAGATCTTCCATCCAATGGTTCACTCCCCCAGTGACCGCAACTGCCAGAGCTGCGCCGATCCGAAGCCAGGAGCCAGGAACTTCCTCCAGGTCTCCCACGCCGGTGCAGGGTCCCAAAGCATTGGGCCGCCCTTGACTGCTTTCCCAGGCCACAGGCAGGGAGCTGGCTGGGAAGTGGAGCAGCCGGGATTAGAACCGGCGCTCACGTAGGACCCTGGCACTTGCAGGATGAGCAGATAGCCGCTGGGCCTGAGCCACTGGCGTCTTGAAGGATTTGTTTGCTTTGATTTGGCCTCTTTTGGCTTCTGATTGTTTTTTCCACTTCCTGGTTACAAACCGGTTCACTAGCCAAGAATTTAAAAAATGCATCTCAAATATGTTTCATTCCACTGAATCCCATCACGTGCTTGGCACGGGCCCTCACTGCTCCCCTTTCTTCCAGCTCCACCAAACCCCAAACCCAGGGTCTGGCCCATAGGAAGGCGGGGCGTGGGGGGTACCTAAGGTCAAAGCCAATGGGCAACCTCACCAGGACCCTGGTCTGTGCTCCCCGCACCCCAGTTGTGCATGCTCTTCCAAATACACTAGCTGCCAGGTCAGAATTTCCCATTGGCTCTGGTCACAGTGAAATTAAAGCATCAAGTTCCCACCACGGTGGAGAAGCCAGAAACTGGCTCCATCTGAAGGTGCCCAGCACACCCAGCACGCGCCCAGCCCAGAGGTTCTGAGTGAAAATTCCTGTGGAGAGGAAGTTGGGCTGAGCTGTGCGTGTGCCTTCCATGGGCAGGTCCCTGGTTGGTCCATCGCTGTGTGTGTGGCCCTCCTTTGATTGGCCAGCATTCTTTCCAGACCTTTCATGTTGGCCAATTGGTCTCCCTCAGTCTAATGGTACTGCCTTTTACCTTAGGGGCTGGATTTCCTGGACAAGAAACCTCTTCATCCCAGCTGTAGAGAACTGCCTAGGTTGCCCTGTACCTAGACAGGTGTGACACTGCTTGGAGCAAAGCAGGCACTAGCTGACTGGCATTCTGGGCTTGGTTCAGGCTACCTCTGTGTAACCATAATTTTTTTTTTTTCTTTAGATTTATTTCTTTTTTGTTGGAAGGTCAGATTAACAGAAAAGGAGAGACAAAGATCTTCCATCCACTGATTCACTCCCCAAGTGGCCACAATGGCTGAAGCTGAGCCGATCCAAAACCAGGAGCCAGGAGCCTCTTCCTGGTCTCCCACGCAGGTGCAGGGTCCCAAACCCTCAGGCTGCCCTTGACTGCTTTCCCAGGCCACAAGCAGGGAGCTGGATGGGAAGCGGGGTTGCTGGCATTAGAACTGGCACCCATGTGCGATCCCGGCGCATTCAAGGCAAGGACCTTATCTGTTAGCTATCACGCCAGGCCCTGCTTATGTGGTTTTGATAAGTCTGAGATGCTGTTGATTTCATTGCCAGCTGGATCTGCCACAAAGCCCAACCTTCCTGTCCTTACTCTGGCTCATGCAGGTACCAGTGGATACAGTCGGTTAGACCAACCTGGCTCTCACCCTAGCCCAGCTCACATGCAGGCCACCGGGTGTTGTAGCCCTGCCTAGCCTGGTTTGCCCCCAGTCTCACATTCACCAGCAGGAGCAGTGGTCCAGCAGCAGATCCCCCGCAGCTCTCCTATTGGGCTTGCTCCCCATCCTGGGTCTTACGTGTGCTGGTGGGAGCTGCAACCCAACCTGGCATGGCTTACCTCACCTCGGCATCCACCAGCATGTGGCTGAAGCCTGGCTTGGCCTGGCCTGCCCCAAGTTCCAGCTCATGCTGGAAGTTGCAGCAGCCTAGCCCAGCCTGAACTACCTCCTAGTCATGGCTTTAATTTGAACTGGTTGGCATTGTAGCCTAATCTAACCCATGCTGTACCCCATCCTTATTCTCACATCTGCCAGTGGTTGGTATAAACTGGCCCAGTCTGGCTTGCCCCCAGACCTGATCAGTGGGTACTGTAACCTGGTGTGGTCTGTGCTGCTCCCAGTCTTGGTTCTTGTGCTCACCTGCAGGGACTGTGTCCTAACAGAGGAGTTCCCCAAGCTCCTCTGGTCACTTCCTTCTCACAGATCTCGCACACTCTGGTGGGTTCTTGGGCCAACCTGACTTGGCCCACTTCCTGTCCTATCAATACAACGCTCTTGCCCAACCAGCCCACACCCATTCTGTCTCGTACTGTTGTATCCTATAGCCCAGCCCTCCCTGTCTACTCCCAGACCTAGCTCTCGCACGAGCCAGCAGGTACTGAGACCTAGCCCAGCATGTCCTACACCCACTCTAGTTCTTGTGAGCACCAATGAGTGCTTGAGCCTGGCTCACTCAGGCACATCCCAGTCCCAGTCTACATCCATGCCCAGGGATGATGCAGCCGTGTCCAGCCATCCCCATTCCAACTCTCAGGCTCACTAATTCCTAGGGCTTCCACATGGATGAAATGACTGTCACATGCAAACTGCACCTGGCATGGCACTTCTGGCTACAGGGAAAGCCTGTAGGAGGTGTTGGTTGGTACAGCGCGCTTTCCACCTGTCCTGGGAGGGAAAGTGAAGGACAGGCTCCATAGTCGCTCACCAGCAGGTGACAAAGGCACGGTGAGCCCAAAGGGTCAGACCCCGCACCTGTGTCCCTAAGAACAGAGACCTGAACAGTTGTCAATGCCACTGAACCTTGGACATGACTGAGGTGTCCTACGAGGGGTGTCCAGTTCGGTCACTGCTGTGTCCTTACGGCATGTCATCAAGCCCGATGCTGTGGCATGGGGCGAGGGAACTGGCTGGGAGTCAAGGGGATTTTATTGTTATTATTATTAGACTCTACGTCTGGTTATACCATAAATAATATGGGATAACTGCCTAGGAAAAAGACTGGTCAGGAATACACCAAAATGCTGGAAGGAACCGTTCGTTCGTGGGTTATTCATGACTTTGACTCTCCCTTCTGAGCTATCCGGGATTTTGCAGCCAGAGTTTTTGCTTTTCAAGTCTTTGGAATTAAGACTACAAGTTCCAGAAGACAGTACGGCTGCCGGTTGCCCGGGACTGCATTGTCCCGGGCGAAATGATCTCTGGGATTTGTAGTCTAAGGGAGACAGCAAGGTGGGACGCGCACTACCGGCATGAATAACAGAGGAGGGAGTCACTGCCGTCCTGACCAATGGGCAGTGCGAGCCTGGCCTGAATGGCGGACGTAAAGCCAATGGACTAAGCTCTCGGTTTGAGTGACGAGGGTTGCAGCCTACGAGGGGTTTGTGGGGCAGGGCGGCGCGCAGCGGCCGTAGTGCGAACCATGGGAGGCAGCTGGTGGTGGGCTCGGGCTGCCCGCCTGGCTCGACTCCGCTTCCGGGGGTCGTTGTTGCCGCCTCAGCGGCCCCGGAGCGGGGGCGCCCGGGGGTCCTTCGCCCCGGGCCATGGGCCTCGCGCCGGGGCTTCGCCGCCCCCGGTGTCCGAGCTGGACCGTGCGGACGCTTGGCTCCTCCGAAAAGCGCATGAAACAGGTCTGGGGGCTGGGGCGCGTGCGAGGGGGGCACGGGGACAACCGGGCTGCCGGCGCGTTCGTGAGCAGTGGGGTGCACCTGGTGCAACGAGCTGGACCGGGAACGGGGCCCCCGTCCAAGGCGCAGGGAAGCGCCGGCTGCTGGGGGATCTAGGGAGGAATGGGGTCCGGGCTAGCGGGGCGCGCAGGGTCCGGAGAGGCGACCCGGGCCCGTGCGCCCGCCTGCAGGGAGAGGCTCCCAGGGAGAACTCGGTGTGTCAGGGCTGCTTGCCAAGGGGTCGGTTCGGAGTGCAGAGGCGACCACTCTTGGAAAAACAAAATCCGGAGTGTTGCTCCCCTCCTAAGTATGGGGGGGAGCTGGGGGAGTCCCGGGATTGGAAGAGCCCGCAGCCAATGGAGGGGAAGCTCTCCGCTGATTGGCATCGGAGACTGAGGGGCGGGGCCCCGAGTGTGGGGGTCCTGGATGGTGGGTCAGGCGCGCATGTAGGATGTTTGGGGGGGACAGCCCTACCCCCCCCCACCCCGCCACCCACCACCATTTGGCCACTGAGTAGTGTTTTGTGGTCTGGGCCAAGACGTGGATGGCATGGGTCGGCCATCCGAATAGGACACGGGGATGGAAAGGGAACGTGGAGGCTGGAGAGATTCTTGGGGTGGTGATGGGGGACAGCGGGAGGGCGGTCCTGGGGACCCACACGTGGGAAGGGACGTGCTGACCTCTCGGATCGTGGCTGCGGTGAATTGTGGCGCACGGGATGCCACTAGAGGGTTCCGGGATAGAGAAGGGATTTGGTAGGATGGGGGTTCAGTGCGGTGGGGTGGAAGGAAGCCGCGCAAGCCTGGGGGGCCGGGGTGGGCTGGTGCTGACGCCCCTCCCGGCCCCCGCCCCCCAGCCTTCCTCTCTTGGTTCCGCAATGGCCTCCTGGCGTCGGGGATCGGGGTCATCTCCTTCATGCAGAGCGACATGGGCCGGGAAGCCGCTTATGGTGAGTGTGTGTGGGGACTTACCCTGGCTCATGGGGGAGGCGGAACCCCCTGCCCTGTCCCACCCCTAAATGCAGGGTTGTCCCTCGCGCCCCTCCCGCTTCCTATGGGCACCTGACCCCCCTGGGCGGATCCCCAGTCTGTGGGTGCCCTGCCTCCGTCCCATGCCTCCTCAAGCCCCTGGCCCTGGGCGTCCCCTGACCCCTGCCTCTCCCGCAGGTTTCTTCCTGCTGGGCGGCCTGTGCGTGGTGTGGGGCGGCACCTCCTACGCCGTGGGCCTGGCCGCGCTGCGGGGTCCCATGCAGCTGTCGTTGGGGGGCGCGGCGGCGGGCGTGGGCGCCGTGCTAGCCGCCAGCCTGCTGTGGGCCTGCGCCGTGGGCCTCTACATGGGCCAGTTGGAGCTGGACATGGAACTGGTGCCGGAGGATGACGGGACGGCCACCGCCGAGGGCCCCGATGAAGCGGGCCGGCCACCACCGGAGTAGCCCCCCCACCCCGAGCGTGGACCCCCTTGAGGACGAGGACTGAGACATTAAAATCTGACTCCTGGTGCGCTCCAGACTTCCCATGGTACTTGCCACGAGCGGGGGAGGCCGGGCCAGCGGGGCCGCAGCGGCGCAGGGACGAGGCGGCAGCCCTGGAGATGGAGCCGCGGCGCAGGCGGCCTTTAATGCGCGCTCGGAGGTCCCGCCCGTGCCCGGGGCTGCTCTCCCAGGCCTCAGTCCCCCTTCCGCTGCAACCTGGCAGCCGCGGGCCCTGGGTATGGCAGGCCCAGGGTCGGGTAGAAGGCTTCCGGGAGCCCGGGGCCCGGGCCCAGCCGCTGCAGATGCGGGTACACGAGCCCCAGCTCTGCGGGGCCGTAGCGGATGGCGCCGGGCGCGCACAGACTCCGCATCACGGGCGGCGGCAGGAAGCCCGCGTGCAGGAGGGCAGGTGCTGGGTCCCCTGGTGGAGCCAAGCCCCAGGGCCGCATGGGGACCTGCTTCAGGGCCCCTGCACGGATGACGGATGTGAACTCGGGGCGCGGCAGCAGGGCGGGGCTGCCCGCGGCCTCCTCATCTCCACTGTCCTCGGACCCCGTGGTCACCTCCTTGGGGCTTTCCTCCATCTTGATGCATTTGCTCTGGGACTGGGAGGCCTCCTCTTTGTCTGGGGGGGCAGGCTGCTTCCCTTCCACTTGGGGAGCCGACCCTGGGAGAGAAAGAATCCAAAGGGCGCTGTACAGACCTTCCCAGGATGGAGTGAAGTTCTGGATCCACAGCTTCTGATGTCCTTGAAATGAGGCCAGTAGGGCAGGGCGTGGGGTTTGTTGGCGCAGTCAGCAGCCCCCTTGCTCACACCACCCCCTCGTGGCCTCCAGGCACGCACACCACTCTGCCAGCTCCTTCGGTGGGTCCCCCTGGCTGAGGTGGGATGGGGCTCACCTGTGGGCTCTGGCCCTGGGCTGGACACGTCCTCATGGGTGGCCGGAAGCTGGAAGGCGTCCAGGGGGGCTTGGTCACCCTCCGCTTGGCTGGGGACAAGATGATGGGTTCGGAATGTGGTGTGTGTGTGTGTGTGTGTGTGTGTGTGTGTGTGTGTGTGAGCCACCCTGCCTGTTTGGGCAGGGGAGGTGGGGGGACCCAGTGGGTTCCCAGCCCACTTGACCCATGCTCTCCTGAGGCTTCCCTGGGTGTCCCCAGTGGAACCTCCTGCCCGTGGCACCTTCTACACCTGTTGCTCCACCAAGGGGTCCAAGTCCACACCCAGCAAGGCTGGAGACCTGGGCAGCAACAGCCCTTCTCCACCCCGGGCACACCGAGGCATCCTGCTAAGATTTAACTTTATTACACTTGGGATAAGAAAGCCTTCCACAGCCCCACAGTGTCCCTGGCCTGGCGCACTCTGCTCTGCCGCCTTCTGCTGGTAAGAGCCCACCATGGCGTGCCCGCGCCTGGGACAGCCTCTGGTCAGCCAGGCCATTGCCCCTGCCCCCCAGCCCCCTCACGTTCTCAGAGCCTCCCGGGCTTGGCCTGTCCCCCCACACCCCTCACCTGAGCACGTGGCTGACCCATAGCACGTGGTGCTCCCCGGGGCTCTTGCCACTCCCTGCCACAGTGGCCACTGACTGGAGCCACACAAAGCCCCCAGCTCGCTGCAGCCAGCGGTAGTAGCCGGTCACCACCTGGCCCTTGTCCAGCACTGGGCGCAGCAGCCCGGAGCAGGAAAGAGACAGGAGGGGCAGGGGTGAGAGGTCAGGGAGAGGAGGCAGTGGGGCAGGGCAGGGTCGGGGGAGGGCAAAGGCAGAGGCACAGGGAGGATTTGGGGAGCCATGCTCGACACACACACATAAGAACCCCTCCCTGCTCGGACTCCCTGCTGCCCATGCTGGGCTGCACGAGGCCCCGGGGGATGCGCCAGGGGTGCAGGGGTGGCTGGTGGAGGGGTCTCACGCTCCAGGTGGCTTTGGCGGATCCTCGTCACGTCCTGGCCGTGCACGAACTGGTAGCAGCTACGGCCCACCAGCTCTGAAGGCCCCAGATCCATGTGGTCGCTGACTCTGGGGGCGGTGGGGTGGGGGAGAGGAGTCCCAGGTGCCGCCACCCAACCCCAAAAAGCAGGGATAGCTCCACAGCCTCCTGGTGTTCAGGGCCCTGCCCCTCCTCCTGACTCCGTCCAGGGGGCGCCCATTTCTGCCCTCCACTGGCCCAGTCCCCAGCCCCGGTACCTGCTCTCACAGGCAAGGATGGTGAGGCCCAGGCTGAGGCGGAAGACGATCATGTGTCCATGCAGGGGGAGCTCGGACAGCGGCGCGGGGGGCAACGTGTGGCCGAGGGCCACCAGGCCCAGGGCGCGTGCCCGGAGGCGCCCCGTCACATGGATGACCTGCTGGCGATGGGCGTGGTTGGAGGGGCAAGGCGGGGCCAGCAGGAGTGGGCATGCCAGGGGGCCATGAGGGGTTCACCGCACCCACCTTGTACCCAGAGGCTTTGACGTGCAGCCCCCTCTTGGTGAGAGTGGACTTCATGCGGACGAAGAAGGAGCGCTCCTGCGCGCGGCTGGAGGGGGCCGCCTCCGTGGGGCTGGGCTCTGGGCGGACAGCAGGACCGCTCAGGCTGCACAGACTCAGACACGCCGAGCCTGCAGAGCCAGGGGACTGGCCCGCGCTCCCCGCAGGCTCACTGCTCGGTACCCTAACCATGGCCTGAACCTGGAGACAGCCCCTCCTCTAGGAAGGCCTCCCTGACCACTCAGCAGGAGTAGCCACCCTATGTGGGGTTCCCCAGCCCTGCCTGTTGGAATCTCGGGCAGAGCTGGGTCCGTCGTGGTCACCCCTGTGTCCACAGTACAAGGAAGAGCAGCAGGTGCAGGCCCAGAGACCCCACCCGCACAGGTGCACGGGGGTTCCCGACAGCACGTTCACAGCTCATGGGGTTGTGCTGTGGAACAAACCCAAGGCAGGAAAATCCTACTGCCGAGTTGGCTTCACAGGCCCCCCAAGGCGGGGAGTGGAAATTTCCACGGGGAAAAAGGGTTTGCAGCGCAGGGTTCTGCAGCCCAGAGCGCGGCTGTGTGGCCCAGGGCCAGGAGGCAAGGCGCTCGCGCAGAGTGGGGGCTGGGGGTTTGCGTGGAGCGCAGCTGTACCCCAGGGCCGGCCTGCAACCCTCACACCGGGGGGCTTCCATGGGAACCAGACCTCCCCAGCGTACCGGTCTCGGCCGCATCCGCCGACGAGGAGGAAGACGAGGAGGAAGAGGAGAGGGAGGGGGGAGTGGGAGGCCCAGGCGTCGGGGCGCGCAGCCCCAGCTGCTCCAGCACCTCCGAGTGGTCGCCCGGGTGGATGTAGTCGAAGACGCTGCTGCCGGTCAGCTCCACCTGCCGTTCACAGACGCGAACACATCAGGTGCACCTTTGTAAAGGTCTTGAAGGGGAATGCTTCGTCCCGCTTCATCCCAGCGCCCCTGTCTATGCTTTAAAGGGGTGGGGGCGGGTGGTGCTGGACCCCCTCCTCCACTTCCCTCTCCTGGGCAGGCATGCAGGGTGTCCCAGCAGGCAGGGAGCTCTGAGAACACGCAGTAGACGATTTCAAACTCCTTAGTTGGAACCTTCGCTCAGGCCTCCCAGTCGGGATCACTCGCGTTCTCTCCCTGCCCGCCCCATCCTTTCCCCAAGGATGCAGTCCCGCCCAGCTCTCCTCTCTGGTCAGGCGGCTAACGGTCACTTCCAGGGCCTCTCCTCACCACAGGCTCTGCCCATCCCGGTCTCATGCCCTGCCCACCGGTTTTCCCAAGTCTCTACGTAGCCAGAGGCCAAAAGACAGAGACCCGAGATTCCGTGTCTGCCGAGGTGGCCACCTGGGCCTAGGGTAGCCGAAGCTGCAGGCTCCGCACCCCCAGCCTTGCGCTGCCCTCCTTATGTCCCGGCCTCCGGCTGCAGAAGCTGGGGCGGGGTCAGGGGCTGAAGCCAAGGGCAGGATGTACGCCTGCCAGCTGAAACAAGTCAGCAAGCCTCAACTACTGGCAGCAGCAGCCAGGGACCTTGCAATGGCTTAGGGGAAAACAAGTGGACTTCTGGTCAACCCCTCGCTAGCAAACTGACCCTGCACATGGACTGTACTGGGGGGCTGGGTGGGACCCTTCCAACCCAGTCTGTTCTTCATGCTAGGATGGCACAGCCAGGGGAGAGAAAGGGCACCTGTGAGCCCAGGGGGGACCCTTACCTGCGACAGGCCCAGGTAGATAGACACTGTTTCTGAAATGTACAGGAATTTCCCATCCTGGTTCAAGGCGAACACGAAGCCGTCCAGGGACTAGAGAGTGGGCGGGGCGGGGGAGCTGGTGCTGAGAAAGCTTGGGGAGTCTGTCACCCCCAGGCTCTGCGGAGGGGAGGCCAAAGGGGCGCCCTCACCTCGCCTGCTCCCAGGGTTGGGGGAGAGGAGCTGCTGCTCACAGAGGCGGCCACCGGGTGGCAGCAGAGAGCAGCAGGCAAGGGCCTCACCTGTAGGATGTGCCCCCCCAGCTGCTCACTTGCAGGATGTGCCCCCCAACTGCTCACCTGCAGGATCTGCCCCCCAACTGCTCACCTGCAGGATGTGTCCCCCAGCTGCTCACCTGCAGGATGTGCCCCCCCAAATTGCTCACCTGCAGGATGTGCCCCCCCAAATTGCTCACCTGCAGGATGTGTCCTCCCAGCTGCTGCTCGAAGACTTCCGAGGCCAGCGCCGCAGGGCCCCGGCGGCCTGGGGCTGTGGGCAGAGGGAAAGAGAAGAGGCCACATCTCCCAGTCAGCTTGGGGTGACACTGGGCAAGCCAGGAGCTGCAGGGCTGTCCTGGTGCAGTGGCTTAAGCTGCGGCTTGGCATGCCCGTGTCCAGTTGCTCTAGGCAGAACCCCACCTCTGCTTCCTAGCCAGCTTCTTGCTAACGCACCGCGGCGGCAGCACTCGATGGCTGAGTGCTTGGGCCCCTGCCAGGAGTTCCTGGCTCCCAGCATCGCGTGCCCCAGCCCTGGCCATGGCAGCCAGCTGAGGAGTAAGCCAGTGGGTGCAAAATCTGTCTCTCATCAAATAAACAAGTCTGTTTTGGTACACAGGAGCTTTTGAATGTAGTTTTTTTGTTGTTGATGTTCTGAATTCTCTCAAGATTCTTGGTACATTAAAGAATAAAGAAATAGGTGGCCCAGCAGGATGGCTCAATTGGCTAATCCTCCCCTTGCAAGTGCTGAGATCCCATACAGGTGCTGGTTCATGTCCTGGCTGCTCCACTTCCCATCCAGCTCCCTGCTTGTGGCCTGGGAAAGCAGTCAAGGATGGCCCAAAGCCTTGGGGTCCTGCACCTGCGTGGGAGACCCGGAAGAAGCTCCTGGCTCAGCTCCAGGCATTGTGGTCATCTGAATGAATCAGCGAATGGAAGATCTTTCTGTCTGAATTTCTTTCTGTATATCTGCCTTTCAAAAAAATAATTTTTTTCCAAAGAAGCCACCCGGGAGGCTGATAAGCACGTGACAAGATGCTCAGGGCATGAGGTCTTAGAGAAACAAAAGCCAAAACCCTGACAAGGGGCCAGTGCTGTGACATAGCAGATAAACCAGCATCCCATATGGGCACCAGTTCAAGTCTCAGCTGCTCCACTTTCAGATTGGTTCCCTGCTAATGTGCCTGGAAAAGCAATGGAAGACTACTTGGGGCCCCTGTACCTTTGTGGGAACCTTGGATAAAGTGCCTGGCTCAACTGTGGTCACTGGGGAAGTGGATTGGCAGATGAAATATATCTATATACACTTTCCAAATAAAAACCCTTAAAAGAAATTCAGTCATAATGAAATGCCACTTGTCTTTGGGGAGGCTGGTATTAAACTTGTTTGTTAGCAAGAGGACCTAAAACAGGCACGTAGTAGGGTCTTGCACTTGCTGGTGGCCAGTCAGCCATGGGCCAGGGGCGTGGGCCTGCAGGGAGCTGCAGCGTAACCTGGGGCCATCAAAGCAGGTGCGTTTCAGGGCCGACTGCCGTGATCACTGGGACACAGGGCTGTGTCATTGTCCTGCGGGTCCCGGGGTAGGGCGGGAGGGCAACATTCTGGGGGTGACGGGGATTTTCTGGCCTAGATCACGGCGGAAGGCTTGCACAGCATCAGTTGCACGTTTTCAAGTGATTCACATTCGGTAGAATTAACCTCAGTTAGCAAAATGGGATGGGCTGGTCATACATACGACGGGGAGCAACAGCGAGGGCCAGGCGGAGTGTCAGCGAGGCTGAGGGTCAGGCCAGGTGGGGAGGAGAGAGGGTGAGCAGAGAGGAGAGACAGAGCCGGGCCTCAGGCTGGGATGGACCGAGTCCCTCCAGACCCCCCGACAGGAGCCGGGCCTGAGGCTGGGGCGGGCAGAGACCCCCGACAGGAGCTTCTGTAACCCTAGATCTGCAGAAAATGGGCCTCCCTCCTCAGGGAGACCCAGTCTGGCACAGCAAGTGGGAGCCAGGTGCTCTGGGGGACTAGAGGGCTTGGAGGACTCCTGGGCCCCTGGACACCTGCTCTCAACCAGGCAGGGCACCAGGCCTTCCCTGGCTACGTGCCCGCCCCTCTAAGCGCCTCAGCTTCCTCGTGTCAGGTGGGTTTGCAGGAAGTGTCACCCCCTGGCAGGCTCAGCACCCAGGCAACTGGCACGCAGAGGGCTGGCGGAGGCACCCAGCAGGTGCAGCCACAGCCAAGGCAGGGGTGGATCGGGATGACCATTGTGGTCACCAGCGGGCCTGCGACAAGCTGCCCCTGCCACACCAGGGCCCCATCTCGAGCCCAGACCTCCTTTCTCCATCAGCACCCCATCCCTTGGCCGCCTCCAGCAACAATGACTGGGGGGAGTGATGGGGACCCACCAGCCCCGTGACAGGCACGAACAATGCCGCCAGCTAATTGTTGCAATTTTCCCTTGTCATTTCTGCTAATTCCTTCATTTTCCCGCTCACAGGATCAGCCCGGGTCAGACAGAGCAGCGGCAGCGAGCGGCGTTCATGGGCACGTGGGTACGGGGGTGGGAGGTATCGAGGGATCAGGAACCTGGCCCTAGTGGCAGCGACCACAGGCTGTGTCTCCTGTCGCTGCCAGGTCAGCAGTAGACTCTGTGCCACCCCTAGAGTGACCCCTTCTCTCTTCCCAATCCCAAACCATCACTCATTCATTCAACAAACACTGGCCAAGGGCTTCATCCCAGCAGGAGGAGGGCAAAAGGGAGGGGCAAGGCTTCGTCCAAGGTTCCAGGCACTCCTAGCTCCACCCCTGAGCCCAGACACCTAAGGAGTAGATTTTGGAGGAGGGAGCCCAGTAAGGTGCAGGCCTGAGGGTGGGGAGCTGAGCATGAGAGGGAGGGGCTCTGGCTTAGGCACCTCTCGGCTGCATCTGCAGAATGGGCACATGTGTGGTACACAGTAGGTGCCTAATCCATGCATCCTGCAGCAGTTCCTGGTACTACTGCCAATAACTGGAGTGCCTCTGTCCTTCCAGAAAGTTCTATGACATCCCCTATCTGGCATTCACTCCCAAAGGACCATCAGCAGGTCTCAGTACATATCCCAGATTGCTGGCAGCCTGGCCCCTGGCACCCATGACCCAGCCACACCTTTGCAGAGGCCCTGAGCCTGGGGTGGCCCCAGGCTGCAGGCTGTGATGGGGACGGGAAGTAAGTGTGTGTGTGTGGGGGTGGGCTATGTGCTGGGGACAGGAGGAAGGTGTGAATGTGGTGGGAGTGTGGGGACAGGCAGGTGTCCTGTAGGGACTAAGGTGCTAGGAACGGGGATCCCGGGATGGGAATAGCCTGTGGAAAGACCAAAGCGGGGGGCTGCCAGTGAGGGGAGGCAGAGAGGAGAGGTCCCCAGGAGAGGAGATGAGGGACTTACAGGTAGGGTTGCCAAGCCCCACCCCTGGAACAGGGCGAGGCTCGGGCTGTTCGCTGGGGCTGCAGGTGTGGCCCCTGCGGCCACGGGTGGGGACTCCAGCTAAGACACTGTCCAGGGTCTCCCCTGGCACTCGCATAGGCAGGTACAGCGCCTCGCTCTGGGAGAGGTGCCTGCACCCCGCTGCCCGCCCCAGCAGGTGTGCGCTGGAGACCACCCCTGCTACCTCGGGCAGCCTTGGGGGTCCCGCCAGGTATTAGGGGGCTAGACGTGGGGACGGACGGGGAGGGGTTCTCACTCAAACCCTCTTCTCCCCTCCCTCCAGCCTGGGGACAATAGGAGCGGCTGTTCGGCTCCCCCACCTCCCAGCACATGTTGAGTAATAACAGCAATCAGCCGGGCGCTAATGCTGCATTCTCTCCCCGCCAGTCAATTCGCCTAATTACCGCCTGGGAAGCCGCATTATTTAAATTTAAATGGTGATTTATTGCGAGTTTAATCAATGCTATTTTCTCTGCCCCCTCCTGCCCTGGAGCTGGGGCAGCCAATGGGACCCCAGCCTCAAGCTCAGGGCAAAGCAACCCCTTTGCTGTGCGTGAGGCTCTCACCTGGCCACCTCAGGGGGCCGCAGGGATAACGGGGCCTGAGTGATAACCGGCCAGGCAGCACGCTGCTGCCTGTGCGCTTCACCTTTCCCAGGGCCAGCGCCCCACTCAAAACAGCAGGTACTTAGCTAAATGCCAGCCAGCCTAACAACAGCCCAGCAAGGGCGGCGCTGCTAACCACGCCTCGCCCCCGCCTCGCCCAGCTGACCTGCCCCTGGCTCTCTGGGGTCTCTGGGGGTCTGTGGCTCTCAACAGTGAGCTCCAGGCAGCTTGGTGCGACCCCTGGATACAGTGCACCCAACCCCTACTGTTGCCAGGATCTTGCTGAAATCAGAACCTATGAAGTCATCTCCGCCTCTTGCGCCCCTTCCAACAGACTTGGAGAGCAAAAACCGCCCGGTGGGGCACCCTGAACCCCAGGCACCTTCAGGGACAGGGCTGGGCCAAGTGGCACGGGCAGCTCGGATCCCGGCTCCAGGGACGCCCACCCGCGCACCCCACCACGCCCTTGCCCACACCCCCCTCATCTCAGAGGGTGCCAGGACCCCCGGCCCTCCCGGCCCAGGCCTGTGCACTCACCCAGGCTGCCCGGTGGCGCTACGGCCCGCAGCCCCCAGGGCGGCGCCCCCAGGGCGGCAAAGCGCCGCAGGCGGAGGTAGGTGACGCTGAGGCGCACGATGGACGCCTTGTCCAGCTGGCTGGAGATGGCACCGGGCAACGGGAGCAACTTGGCCAGCTCGAAAAACTCCAGGTTTTCCTTTCCGCGCCTGGAGCGCGCAGCGTTGCGCGACTTTTCCTTGCGCTGCGCCTGCAGGCTGGGCGGGCGATGCGGAGGAAGCGTCAGTGGAGGGGCAGTGAAGAGGTAGGGGTGGACCCCGCCTCCTGCAGGTGGGTGCCCACCTGAGTTCTATGGCCTTGGGGCTACGTCCCCGGGGTCCTTGTTTGGGGAGGGGAACAGGCAACAGAATTGGGGGGGACAGGGTGGCTGGGTACGACATTCGCCCTCCCCAGGGATGGGGACTGGAAGATCCCTGGGGTCTCCGCCTGGGGAGGAGGGGGGCGTCTTCATGGGGCGGGGCCATGGCCGGGGGGCGGGGCTGTGCTCACCAGGGTCCGGGCGGGGCCTTGACCATCAGCCCAGGCAGAAAGTCCCACGGGATGCTGGTGCCACGGCCTCCCCCGCATCTGCCCTCGACCCCGCCGCCACGGCTGGAATAGGGGGTCGACATCTCGGCGGGGCTGCTTCAGGTGGACGCAGAGGCCCGCGCCTCCTGTGGCGTGAGGGAACCGCTGGCAGACTTTGCAGGTAAACTGAGGCCTCGTATGGAGGTGGGGTAGGGATAAAGGCGGGTCCCCACGAGGGGCAGGCGCGGGATGGGGACTCAGTTTCCCGTTGCTCGCACAGACCGCAGCTCCCACCCTGCCCGGGCTGGGCTGGTGTTCTCGGTGTGGACGTGCCCCGCCGCTGCCGCCGCCGCCTCCCCCGCGCCGCCCGCCAGCGCGCCCGCCTCACGCCCGCGCCGGGCCGGCTCCCGCATACCAATGGGCGCACGCGGCGCGCATACGGATCGGACCGGCCCGCGCGTTGCGTGCCAAGCATGCCCAAGCCGGGCGGGGGGCAGGTGCGTCCGCCTCGTCCAGCGCCAGCCCCCACTCCCACCAAGCCCACCCCATCGTCCTTCTCCCGGCATCAGCCACGAGCCCGTTTTCCTGGCTGGGCTGGTGAGGTTGGGGAGGAAGTGGCGCAGGGGCGCAGGGGCAACGACCCCACCCCAGCCCCTTGGGCGGAACCACAAGTCCTGGACGCCAGCACGACTTTATCCCTGGAGACCCTGGCCTCTGCCCGAGGCCATCCCTGGAGGTACCAGACAGTCGTCACCCCTGCTTCCCGGGGTCTTGATAGCCTTTGGACCCGGGACAGGCTTGCTTGGTCTTTGGTCTTCGCTTTGCACCCCGCCCGCCCACGGACAGCCGCAATCCGGTCACCCCCCACCTCTCACTCCTCCAGGACGCAGGAGTACCCCCACCCGTCGAAGCCCCGTGGGTTACCTGGCCGTGGGGTTGGCTCCGGGCGCGGGCGCGGTGGTGCGGGGCTGCCCTGGAGGCGCCGAGGAGGGGGCGCTCCATAGGCCCCGGGACTCGGGAACACGGCCCAGCGCCCAGCCTCTGGCGGGCGGCGCGTGGCCACCCCGGGCCCTCGCGGACTGGGGAGCCGCGCGCACGTGGGAGGCGCAGGTGGCGGGGCAGGTGGGCGGTGTCTTCCGGAGCCCCGCCTTCAGCCCCACTCCCTGCGCCCCGCCTGGTACCTGCCCCTCCCGACTGTCCCCCACAGGCAGGGTCTGGAGCGCCCCAGAGAGTGGGAACCGGGGTCCCCAGCAGGAACTTCAAGATCAACTCCAAAGTGGTCCCAGGGAAGGGCGCAGGGAGTGACCAGTCTCGTGGCCTGGTGTGGCGGCAATGAGCTCCCTGTCCCCAGGGGAATCAAGTAAGCGCTCAAAGCTGGGAAGTTGCGCCCATGAGTGTGTGTGTGTGTTTCTAAGGACATCAGCATTCTCCTACTCTGGCACCTTTAATTTATTTACTCATTGAAATGCGCTCTACTGTGGCACCTGGGGGTAAGCTGCTTGCAACAATGGCATCCATGGCTGCCTGTTCGAGTCCCAGCTACTCCACTTCCCATCCAGCTCCTGGCTAGTGTGACTGAGAAAGCAGTGAAGGGTGGTTCCAGTGCTTGGGCGCCTGCCACCCACGTGCAGTCCTGGCTCTGGCCTGGCCCGGCTCTGACTGGCACAGCCATTTGAGACGTGAGCAAGTGGATGGAAGATCGGTGATGCTTGCAAGTAAATAAGTCAATTGTAATTTATATACAGTTTGTTTGAAAGGCAGAAAGCAAGAGCAAGATCATCCATCTATAGGTTCACTCCTAAATGCTGGCAGCACCTGAGGCTGGGCAGGCCAGGAGCCCAGGACTCCTGCCGTTCATGTCCCGGCTGCTCCACTTCCCATCCAGCTCCCTGCCTGTGGCCTGGGAAAGCAGAGGAGGACGGCCCAAAGCCTTGGGACCCTGCTGCCACGTAGGAGACCCCGGGGAAGCTCCTGACTCCTGGCCTTGGATCATTTCAGCTCCAGCCATTGCTGTCATTTGCTGGAGTAAAGCAGCAAACGGAAGCTCTTTCTTCATCACTTCGGCTGTCGAATAAACAAATCAGGACGTCCCTTACAGGCTTGCCGTCCGCATAAAAGAAATAAATTCAATAAAAACTCGCTGGGCTTTGACTACTCGCTGAGCTCTGAGACACAGGGATACAGATTCCAGGCCTCTCGGGCCAGTGCGACTGGGGTGCTCCCTGAAGGCGCCTTCTCCACTGAGGTGGCAAGAACGAGGGGCGGGTCCCGTAGTAAACCTGGCCCCTCATGTGGCACTGGGAAGGGTTGGGGGGAGCTTGAAGAGGTGGAGCTTGGTGGGAAGTTGTAGGCCCCGCCCACACCTCGGCCTTCCTCTTCACTCCCCTCCTTCCCCGTGGGAAGCTGCCACCCTCACCTCGTCATGTGCCATGTGCCCTTGTCCACGCCCTCGACCCACCTGAGGCGGGCAGACACCTGCCCCCTGCGTCGCCCTTTTCTCCCCCCCTCACCCCCGTGCTGGCGCTGCAAACGCGCACACCTCACAGCCCCGCCTACACAAGTGCAGCATGGTGACCCCCCCAAGCAGAGTGGGACACATTCCCAGCTTTGCAGCTGCCCGTGGGGTCCCACGCGGGGCACTTCATGAACTCCTACCTGCCTGTTAGGGGACATGGCGACAACCCAGCTGGTCTTGGGAGAGGTTCCAGTCCCCAGGGCCGGTGGCCTCGGAGAGGAGGCCCAAGCTCGCTCCTCCCCAGCAGGTGGGCCCAGAGGGGCTGTTAAAAGGGGATCAGGTGTAGGTGGGGCTGTTAGAAGGGGATCGGGCGCAGGTGGGGCTGGGAGCGAGCCCGGGCAGGTAGTAAGGAGTTCAGTCAGGGATCCCTGGGCGTCAGGGCCTAGGATGGGAGGTGCAGGTGGGGCAGTGAGGATGATGGTACTCAGCTGTGCTGGCGGGGGGCAGGGTCCCCTACTCCCCATCTTTGTGCTCAACTTCGGCAGCAGGGCCCTGTCCATCCGCCAGTCTTCCATCTGTCCTAGACCACAGCAAGAGCTGGGTCAGCCTGAAGCCAGGCACCAGGAGCTTCAGCCGGGTCTCCCCGGTGGGTAGCAGAGACCCCCCGTCCCTGGACCATCATCTGATGCCTTAGCAGGTGCCTTAGCTGTGCTGGCACTCCAAGCAATGCAGCTGTGCCCCAACGTTTGGTCCCCTTTTGGGGTTCTTTCAGTCATAACACATTACAGTTCCCCCTTGTACCTGAAGGGCCACAGTGTGCTGTAGAGTCCAATTTGGTAGGAGGCTGATTTTATATTTTATTTTTAAAAGATTATTTTTATTGCAAAGTGAGATATACAAAGAGGAGAGAGAGGAAGATCTTCTGCCTGTTGATTCACGGCTGGTGCTGAATCAATCGGAAGCCAGGAGCCAAGAGCCTCTTCTGGGTTTGCCATGTGGGTGCAGGGCTCCAAGGCTTTGAGCCGTCCTTGACTGCTTTCCCAGGCCACAGGCAGGGAGCTGGATGGGAAGCGGGGTGGCTGGAATTAAAACCAGCACCCATATGGGATCCTGGCACATTGAAGGCAAGAGCTTTAGCTGCTAGGCTATCACGCCGGGCTCTTATTTATTTTTTGTTAAGATTTATACATTTATCTGAAAGGTAGAGTTACAGAGAGGGAGTGAATGAGTGAGAGCCAGGCCTGACCCAGGAGCCTGGAAACCCATCAGGGTCTTTCGTGTGGGTGCAGGGACCCAAGCACTTGGCATCTTGTGCTGCCCTCCCGGGCGCATTAGCAAGGAGCTGGGTCAGAATTGGAGCAGTCGGGACCTGAACTAGCACCCATATGGGAGGCCAAGATTGCAGGTGATGGCTTAACCCACCACACCACAGCACGTGCCCTAGGGCCCTGATGTGTACTGGCTCCTGGGCAGAGCAGGGACTGTGGAAGGGAGAGTCCAGGCAAGGAGGTGGCCATGGTCCAAGGTCAGATGACGGGGGTCCTGGCAGATGGTGGCAGAAGTGAGGGAGGGAAGCCCCTGGGGAGGTGGCTGGCTCGGGTGTGCAGGGGTGGGAGGTAGGAGCAGGTGGGGTCAGGTGTGGAACCCCAGGGGAGCCCCAGGGGATACACAGAACGCTTGGGTCTGTTCCCCATGCCTGGATCCTACCTGGGGCATGGCTGCAAGGTCACACCTCCTGGCTGGGGTAAACCCGTCCTCTGTAAAGTGGTGAGCTAAGTCGGTGGATGCAAACGGACTAAAATCGAGGGCCTCTGGTGGATTTTGTATTATTGGTGTTTCCGGAAGCCCCTTCAGGTCTCTCCTGGAAGCTTTCTAGAACTTAACTTTGGGAAGCCCTTCTTGCTCCCCGTCTCCACTTGGCTGCTGCAAAACTGGCCCAGGCTCCCCATGCCCCTCCCTGGTGTCCTGGGGCCGAGGGGTGGGTGCAGTAACTGACTGTCCCGGCAGGCGGAAGGCTCGAACTCGCGCAGCCCCCGGCTAGGTTTGTCAGCACCTGCTCCTGCGGGCAGGGCTGCGGCGCTCTGCTGACCCCTGGTGGCCGCTGGGAAGAGCGCGGCCCCTGGCTTGGCAGAGTTGGGGGGCTCACCCTGGGGTCGTTAAGGAAAGGCCCCGTCCCCACCCGCGGCTCCGTCCTGGCTTCAGGCTTGAGCATGCTCGTACAACGCTGGACCTGGCTCAGCGCTTTTTAAACAGTGATGTTTTATTTCTCATGGAGTTAGAGACCTTCATTTGTTTAATCTCCTAAAAAAAAAAACATTCCATGTACCGATGTAGCTAAAGCTGGGCCAGGCTGCAGCCAGGTGTTAAGCTACTGCATCCAGGGGCCAGTGCCGTAGCTTAGTTAAGCCTCCACCTGTAGTGCCAGTATCCCTTATGGATGCTGGTTCAAGTCCCAGCTGCTCTGCTTCTTACCCAGTTTCCTGCTAAGGCGCCTGAGAAAGCAGTGGAGGATGGCCCAAGTGCTTGGGCCCTGCACCCACCTGGGAGGCGTGGAAGAAGCTCCTGGCTTCAGATCAGCGCAGTCCTGAATGTTGTGGCCATTTGAGGAATGCATCTGTGGGGTGGGAGCCCTGGGGAAGAGCAGCCTCTGGGTGGGAGGGGGAGCACCCCACCGCCCCAGAGGTCTCTGGCTTGTGGGGAACCAGCTTAGGGAAGGGGTTGGCTTGGAGGGGCCAGGAGGCAGGTGTTGGAGCAGAGAGCATGTGGGAGAGCTTGGTTTATCCCTTGGGCATTGTCAAAGTCAAGGCCTGCAAAGGGACCCACCCTCCCTGCAGGAATCCCCTCCCAGCTCTCTACCAAGTGGTGCTGGCTGAGGCACCCGAGACAGGAATGGTGAGAGCTTGAGCAGAAGCATGCCAAGTTCCAGCTGCATATCAGCTTTGAAAAATAGGTTAGGCCCCAGCACTGCGGGCAGTGGGCAAAGTTTCCGCCTGCAATGCTGGCATCCCGCATGGGTGCCAGTTCGTATCTCAGCTGTTCTACTTTGGGTCCAGTTCCCTGCTTAACGCACCTGGGAAGACAGCAGGAAAACAGCCTAAGGACTTGGTCCCTGTGCCCACGTGGGGGACCTGCATGGTTCTGGAAGCACCAAGGAATGGGCAGTTTTCAGAGGACACCGATTGGGCCGCACACTGAGGATGCAGTGCAGTGGGGACCTTTGTCTGCCTGGCCAAGACTTCACGGGCCAACAGGCACCTGAGGGCGTGGCTTCTCCAGGACCAGCCAGGCACAGGTGCCTAGCAGCTGCAGCAGCTCCTGCTCCCAGTACCGAATCAGGAGCTATGAGGGGCTGCAGGCAGCCAGGGTGCGGGGAGCTGGACTTCGGCTGCGATACCCAGGTCATGGCTCGAGGTACTGCCGGGAAGTAGACACCAGGAGCCCAGAAGCCCAAGGGGTAAGGAGGGCATGGGGACCAGCAGTGCCTCAACAAAAGGGGTCTTTCTTGGGGGTGGTGTTGCCGAGGCTTCGCCGAGGGGCTGTCCTGTGCAGTGTGGCGGATGGCCCGTTCCAGCACGGGGGCTGCATGGCCCTTGGCTCCAAGGCCCGGGTCCCTCCGCCAGCAAGGTCAAGTGTGGCTTTCGGTCTTCTTGAACATGGGTGTGGCACCTGTCCTAGTACTCAGCCTTTCTCCCTCTGCCCCCCGCCTTGCTGGGCACCCCTAACGAGGTGGCTTTAGCTGGAAGCTGGGGTCTGGTCCCTGGGGCTTGTGGGAAGTGCTGTGATAGGAAAGCCTGGGGGATGAGGGGTTAGAAATATAGAGTCATGGGAGACAAGCTGGAGGGAGGCAAGGGGGTGGCTCCGGGGCCACGGGACTGGGGGCCCCTTCAGCTCGCTCAGCTTTTTTTTTTTTTACAAGATTGATTTATTAACTATGATACATATCACATAAGGCCTTTTCAGGATTTTTTTTTTTTTTACACCATTCCCATTGAGACAAGTACAATACTTTGTAGCAAATACATGATTTTAAAAAACAAAACCAAACAAAAACACCTCTGTCCGAGATGCTTCAGCCGCGGGAGGCTGACCATGCACTAACGGGGCCGGGGCCGCCACGGAGCCGCGCTCCTACACCGACTAGAGGCTGCCCTGGCAGGTGCCCGCAGGGGCCAGGGGTGCCTTCCTACACACAGCAGCTCCACTTCCGCAGCACGACAGAACTGTGGGCACACGGCCAGACTACGACACATCTCAATACCATTCATAAGTTTTTTTCTCAGGAAACTCAAAATATCTGTTAATTCGACATATATAAAGATCATTTGACATGTGAAAATACAAGTACCAGAAAAATAAGCCGGCAGCAGCGCTGTTCCAAATTTTCCAACACATTTTATTCCCATACAATGCTGAGACACTTGCTTCCTTTAAAATGTACACAGGGAACAAGACTTTTTTTTAATGCAAACAATAACTTATGCCCTGTCTTGACCACATGGAAATGCAGTGGCCTGGCTGCTCGGGAGAGGGGTGACACAGGCAGCTTGGCAAGTTGCCCCCGTGTGGGCTCCATCCTACACAGACCATGGACTCTGGGTGTCTCCATGCCACAAGCCCATCGGCAAAGCCCTGCTGAATCCCCTCCTGGAAAGCAGGAGCCCAGAGCTGGCCACTGCCTTCAGGCCCACAGTTCTCATTGGAGGGGGCAGCCTGTGACCAACAGGCTGGCAACCAAGGGGGTGCTGGTCTCAAGGGAATTTTTTTGGTCCCTCCTGGCAGGGCGCTGCACCTGTGTCAAGCTCGGTCCTCACTGGGACAGACCCAGAGCCCTGCCCCTGCGCCTCCCATTTCAAGCTGGATGGATGCAGGGGCTCCCAGAGTTGTGGGGCCCATCTCCCTGTTGGAAACAGCCAGTGTTGGGAGAACCACCTGGAGGAGATTCCCAGCCAGGTCACTAGCCCGCACCCCTGGGCTTGCCTCTGTCACCATCAGATGCCCCAGGGCTGCTGTCAGTCTCAGACCCCTGCCATTAGGCTGCACAATCCCACAGTATGTGACATCCCCGTGGCCCCCCAGGTGCGCCCCCTTCCACCATTGCCAACTCAGGGCTGCGGGTCTCCCCACCTCAGGCTAGAGCAGCAAAGGGGCTGCAGAGCTTGCAGATGCAACAGAAATGAGGCCCGTCCACCCCCACCCCGAGCCCTGGCCATGCTGCAGCTGATGAGGGGTGATGTGGCCGGCGGGGGCTCCCAGGGTGGGCTCGGGAAGTTGTGCAGGGTAAAGGTAGGAAACACAGCCGTCCCCTCTCTCCTGCTGCTCCTCTCCGCGTCTCCCTCGCTTCCCGGAAAGGCTGACCAGGCAAGCAGAACAAGAGGCATTGCTGGCCGCCCAGCGGCTGGGCCTTGTGGACTGGGGGATCTGGAGGCCCACCTACCAACCTCAGCCTGCAGCAGCCCCCCAGGAGGCAAGAGAGAGCCCCACCCAACACCACCCTGGCCCAGGATGCACTGGGACATCATGTTCCGAGGGGTGACTTAGTGTGGCCAAGCACCGTGTTTTGGGGAGACAGCCAGCTTGCACAAAGGGGCTCAGGGAGCTGGGGGTCGTCCACAGGGCCGGCCCAGCCGGAGCAAACCACAGATGCAGAGTCTTAAAGTGCAATGAGACCGAAGCTGTGGCGGGGCACTCGCTACCCCTCCCAGGGTACCTTAGTGTGGGCAGCAGGCCATCCAAGGGGTGGCACTGGGGACAGGTGGGCTTGCTGGCCCTAGGACCATGAGAGGCGTCCCCATGTACCCTCAGGTGGCCTCCAGGGCCTGGATCAAAGGAACCCACTCGACCACCCCAGTGGACCCCTTCGGCTGTCTGCATCCTCTGCGCACGCACAACAGTCCATGTAGTGTTTCAATAACCATGTAGTGTGTTGGAAGGCTGGCACCCAGCACCCACGCTCTTCTGCCTGTCCCCCGCATGCCCCTGGCTCACACCACCTTCTATGGGAGGGGGCTTTGGTGACAGGGTACCCCGTGGTGCTGTCAGACAGCCCCCCTCCACCTGTTGGCCTCCCAGCACAAGTGGAGAGGCCAGGGGTGTACAGTTGGTTCCTTTTTTTTTTTTCTTTTAGTGACTGGAGGGCTTCTGTTTTGCTTCCAGTTTCCGTGGTTACCCAGGAACGTCTCCAGAAGGAAGCCTGTGACAAGGGGCTGCACCCTGGTCCAGCTGTGTCCCGCTGCTCTTGTCCACTGGGCGGGAATGCCAGCCTGTACCTTGAGGGGTCCCCAGGGCCCTTCCTGTGGGGGCAGCGAGCACAGGGAAGGACGGGAAGTGCCCCAGCCCCTTGGAGCAGGGGCTCCATAGGCCCAGGGTCGGGGGGCACCCCCCCGTGAAGCACAGGCACCTGGGCTGCCCCTGTGCTGGTCCGCTCCTCACAGGGCTCCACTCAGCCTCCAGACTGGGGTACTGGGCTTGGTGCCCGACAGCCCAGCTCTGGGGACTGCTGCTCCCACTGAGGTCTTGCGGAGCTGGGGAGGGGAACAGGGGCCCTTGGCCCTGCCCCAGGGGACTTGGTCTTGTTCAAGGCCGGATGCTCACCCCGGCAGAGAGAAGCCCGCTGCTCCAGCACCCGCGGCCCGGGGGGCTCAGAGCGTGTGTTCAGCCTGGAGCTGGGATGGGAGCAGGGGCTGCAGAGGGGACTGAGGGGTGGGCGGGGGCGACTGGGGGGGTGACGGTGGACTGGCAATGGGTGTGGAGGTGAGGAAGGGGCCGGTGGGTGCAGCGGCCGCGGGCGAGCCGGGCAGTGCCCCGGGCGGCTCACTGATGGGCCGATTGTAGAAGAAGAAGGGGCACTGCTGGATGAAGAGCTCCATGATGGTCTGGTAGGTGCGCGTGGCCGTGAGCGCGTCCATGGTGCTGAAGTCCGGCCGCATCAGCGTGGGCCAGAAGCAGATGGACAGGTTCTCGCTGGTCATGAGGTTCACCTTGTTGTTGTGGCTGACCCTGCGGGTGACAGCAGCCCCAGTCAGAGCCCCCGTGCCCTCCCTGACAGTGGGGACATGGCCACATGGTGCAGAGGCCCTTGAGGGGCTTGGGACTGCCGGGCCTGCCTCCCCAGGTGAGCGCAGTCAGGTGTGAGCCCGCCAGCCTTGCTCAGCCTGCCAGCCTCGCTCAGCCCGCCCTGCATCTATGATCCCAGCTGCCAATTCCTCAGAGGAATCAGCCAGAAAGTAGGAGACCTACTTGTTCAGGTGAGAGATGACGTATTTGAAGACTTCATGGTTTTCCTTTGGAAATTTCTTTAACACCTCCTTAAGGGCATGTAACTTCTGCTCCCGGTCGTTGATTTCTGAGGAGAAAGACTTTCATTGGTTAAGTCTGTGGGGCTTCTGGGCTCCAAGCTGGCACTGGGCAGTGGGGAGCCGGAGATGGGCTGCTGGTGGCTGGTACAGGTGGGCAGCCCTAAACACACTGGGCCCTCCCTGCTCTCTCCTCAAACTCAATGCCCAAGGCTGGCGCACCTGGTGGTGGCACGGGCCCAGGGGCCAGGCCAACCCCTGCATCCCAAGGCCCTGCTGAAGGGCACCACTGTGTGCCCAGGGCTTCCTGGCCCCCAGATGGAGCCATGCAGACATGCCACCATAAAGAACCCATTCTTCACTCATCCGGTTGCCCCTGGAGATAGGCATCGTGATGCAGAAAGCTGCCCACTTCCTGGCCAGCTCAGTGGGCCACACACGCCCCCGGGGAGCCCCCAGAGAGTCCTGCCCCGTCCCCACTGCCGCCCAGCCCAGGCTGTGCCCACTGCAGCTCCTGAGGTTTTAGTAGAAGGGAGATCAGAGGGAATGTCTACTCCTCCTCCTCAGGTCCAGCTCAGGCAGGGACAGTCACCTCGCTGATGAGCCATCTGGGGTGCCAAGAGACATGACATCCTGGCTTCCTGGCCCAAGAGGGTCTGGCTGCCTGGTCAGCGCATGCCTCCCTGGGCACAGCCATCTCTGGGAGCCAACAGCAGGTGGTCACAGCAGCAGCCTGAGGATTGCCCACTGGTGTGTGGCACATGTGGGGAGCCTGGGGCCATAGCCTCACGGGATGCGGGCTCCAGCCCAGCCCCCAGGTGGGCATGGGCACATATCTGAGTACAACCGCAGCAGCTGCATGACCCAATACTGGAGGGAGCCCAGGCGGGGCTGAGGGAGCTGGTGACAGGAACCCAGCTCAGAAGTGCTCCTGGCAGGTGCGTGAGGATGAAGCCGGCAGAGTGGGTTTGAGTCTTACTTGCCTCGTAACACATGGCTAAAAAAAATGAGAGCTACTCATTAAGAACAGTTACAAAGTTTGTTTGGAAGTCAGTGACGTGGTATAACACACTGCTGCCTATGATGCCAGCGTCCCACACCAGGCTATCAGTTCGAGTTCCGGCAGCTCTGCTTCCCTCCAGCTCCCTGCCAATGCACCTGGGAAGGCAGGGGACCCCTGGTTCTCCTGTGGGAGACCAACTAGGCGTGACAGCAACACTGTCCTGGGGAAGAATGGGACGGGCACCTGGCACAGAAAGTCCACAGGGGCATTTTGGGGATAACTGAACCAAGACAAAATCTGGACACAGACCAGGCAATTTAGAACAACTGAGACCCCAAGAATTTCGGGAAAAAAGGGCCAGTGGCTCCTGGAAACCTGAGGAGGAACCTTCTCGCCCTCTGCCAGCACACACAGCCCAGGGCTTGGGGGGCGGAACTCCCACAGGGTCCCCGACTACCTGCACACCTGAACCACAAGGACAGGAGGGGTCTGGCCTGGAGAATTCAGGCTGTTCTCCTGAAATCCTGAATTCTCCATGTTTCCTGCCCTACCCCTGCCATCTGTCTTGGTGTACGCAGGGCCCTTGCCCAGATGTGGGTACAGGAAACACCTCCAAACAGCCCCCTAGGCAGATGTGAGGATTGTCCCAGGAGAGTGAGAGCCCACCATCGTGCAGCCGGGTCTGTCCCACGCTGACCTTGGCACTGAGGTGCCTAGGGGCCGCAGTGTGAGCTGTGTCCTCTGCCAAATGGGCACAGGTCCCTCTGACCCCCAAGGGAAGCTGCTGGCCTCCACGGCATTGTCTGCAATGCTGACTCCTATGAATCCCAGGATCGAGCACAGTGTGACGGGGTGGCCCTGGCTGGGGTCGATACTCTGGGGCATGACCCTGTTTGTTCCACGATGTCCTGACCACGCCTTTTGCCCCTCCTGGCATCTCTGGTCCAGCCCAGCCCAGTCACCCACAGCCCACTCTTCTCAGCCTGGTCTACCCCGCTCCCCCATGTTGAAGAAGCCCTAGCTGACCATGGGGCCACGGGAAGCACAGGATGGGAAGAGGAAGTGGAGTGCCTCCACCCTTTTCCAGGCTGTAGCAGCTGCGGCAAGAAGCTGCCTCCAGGGTAGCAGCAGCTGCGGAATCCCCTTAAGGCCAGTATCGCCCCCTCTAAAGTCCCCAAAGGTGTGGTGTCAGCTGCTCCAGTGCAAACAATGGGAGCTGCTCGGGTGCTAGGATGCTACAGGCCTCTAGATGGCGCCAAGTCAAGACAAACGCACAAGGGAAAGGCTGCCCAAAGGGCCAGCTGCGGACCCAGCACCCTGCCCACCTGGGGACCAGCCGCCCTGCCTCCATCATCAGGGCACATAGCAGTGGGGCCGGTACCCCACGCTCCCACCCAGTCCGAGGTCAGGGGCTGTGGGCAGTGCAAGGCAGTGTGGGCAGAGAAAGGTGAAGGCGGCACTGGGCTGTGGAAACAACCATCAGAGGAAGTGCTATGCAGAGAGGCCACCAGGGCGGTTCAGGGTGCACTTGCCCACAAGGTCACTCAGAGGGCAGCCCCAGGACTGGAGAGCCGCTGGAGCCTGCCTCTCCTCTTCCTCACCCTTGCTGGGGCACATACAGCGTTAACCTGCAGCAGCACCCAGCGATCCTCCAGCTCACGTGGCTGCAGGGCCCGCCCCGGGCCCGTCCCTGTCCTGGGTAGGCGAAGGGAAGGCAGAGCTCTGGCAAGCGGAGCACTCGGGGGGCCTGCAGCTCCTGTTCCCCGCAAACTCCCTCCAGCCCAGCACTCACTGTGTGCCTCTACCAGGTCGCTCTGCATGTTGTACGGGACCAGCGGGTCCGGCAGCTCCGAGAAGAAACTCTTCATGGCCCCGGCCACAGTGTTCACAGTGAAGTCTTTCTCTGCCAAGTCCAGGTTGTGGTCTAAAAGAAGGGTGGAGGGGTGAGGCCAGGTGGGCATAGCAGGAACATGCGGGGCTTGGAACCAGCAGACAGGCGAGCAACTGGGATCCCAGAGCTATTCCTCCACCGCCCGCCCCCTGCTTTCTGTGCTGGTCATCCCCCCCGCAACCCCTATCAGGGACAAAGGTGCAGCTGGCCCACTTCCAGAAGAGTGAGAACAACTAAGATTGTGGCTGCTGGCCCGGAACCCGGCCCTGACATGCTCTTACACGGTCAGTCACCTCTGCCCCTCCTGTGCCCTGCTGCCTGCCCACCTCTTCACCCCCAGGGTCCAGAACCTTTGTGCCAAGTTAATGGGGGGAGGAAGCCCTTGCAAGGCACCCGGCAGTCTCCAGGCTGCAGCTCAGCCGCCATGACACGCGGGGGCAGGACTCTAGTTCTCTCACAGACCTCCTCATCCCTGTGGCCCCAGCACCCCTCATGGCATTGCCAGCACCCTTGGCCGCGCCTTCGCCTTACCCTGGTCGAACTGCCTCTGCAGACTCTCCATCTCCGACTTGTTCCCGCTGACCCGGTAGATCCCCTCCGTGCTCAGCCCTGCAGGAGACAGCACAGGTATCAAGCCTTGGGGTGCAGGCTCCTGTTAGGGGCTCTCAGGGTCCTGTGGCTGATCCAGGGGCTCAACCCCTCCCCAGCTGATCTCACTAGTAACTTCAAAAGTACTTGTTCTATGGTAAAAATGAGAATAGCACAGATACACAGGAGCTAACAGCCACCTCTGTCTCCGTACATTCTGATGCACACGTGACTGAGGCTGGCACTGTGTTGCAGTGGGTAGGGCCACTGTCTCAGACACCAGCGTCACATATGAGTGCTGGTTCAAATCTTGGCTGCTCCACTTCCCTTCCACCTAATGGCGGGAGAAGCAGCAGAGGATGGCCCAAGTGCTTGGGCCCTTGCCACCCCTGTGGAAGAGTTAGAAGAAGCTCCTGGCTTCAGCCTGGCCTAGCCCTGGTTTTTGTGCTCATCTGAGGAATGAGCCAGTAGATGAACCAGTGGGTCTCTATCTTCCCTCTCATTCTGTAACTCTGACTAAAGCTGTAACATTACCAAAATCACTTCATATTATAATTTTTTAAATTAAAAAAGAACTTTATTTGGAAGTTAAGAATTAGAGATGGGCAGACAGACACACACAGAGACAAAGCTCTCGGCCTGCTGGCTCACTTCTCAGATGAGCCAGGTCAAAGCTGAGAGCCCAGAGTCTCTCCTGGTCTCCCATGCAGGTGCAGGGACCAAAGGACTTGCACTGTATTTTGGCGTTTTCCCAGGCACACCAGCAGGAGCTAGGTTGGAAATGGAGCAGCAAACTTGAAAAAGCAGAGCTCACACTGGATGATGGCTGGCCCCCAATCGACTTGTACCATGTTTTAAAGGCCACAAAGAATACAATTTAAAAAGTCTTCCCTTGGTGGTACAGTGGTGTAGCATACCACCCCTCAGCTCGTGGTGCTGCCACCCCATCTGGATGCTGGTCCTACGCAAAGCACCTGCTCCTTTTTATCACTTTTTACAACAATGTCGTGCTCTGTGGTTATCTTGAAACAGCCTGACGTAGGGACAACACCAGGCACTAGTCAGAGGGCAATAACCTGGATGAACATACAGTCAAGCCAGAGACCCACTTCCCAGGCTGCACAGGCAGCTCTCGCCAGGTCTGGGCGGGAGCTCAGCTGCAAGGGGATGCAGAGCAGTGTTTGCCGAGTCTGTTCTCCACCCCCACGAAGCAAAGCCCACTGCACAGCACGGAGATCCCAGGATGACAGGGTGGTGACGCCAAGGGGAAAACTGAGTGTGGGCCTCGTGGGTGAAGCAAGACTGCAGGCTGCCCAGGGATGTGCCCCCATGTCCCCACAGACACCAGCAACACTGTGGGCAGTACCCAGCTGATGGGACCCAGAGCTCGTGGGCTCCTGTGGGCCTGGTTCTCAGTAGTGCAGTTATTCGGGCAGCTGCCTGCCCTCAGGAGATAGAAAAGCAGTGGGTCTGGGTTCCCTGAGTCCCTGTGCTGGGTCAGGGACCTCTGTAGGACATCAGAGCAGAAGCCATCATGCCCCTGGGCCTTCAAGCTGGAAACTGCACCCAGTTGGTTGCTGGAGCAACTGAGGGTGTTGGTGTCAGGCTGGAAGAAGCTCTGCATGTGAGCCCAGCCCGGAGCCGTCCCCGCGCGTGAGCCCAGCCTGCAGTGCTCTTGTTCAGGAGATGGATGACTCCACGGCCTCTTCTACGTCTCGGAAGAGCAGCCCCAGGAAGAGAACACAGAGAGAGAAACGAGGCTTGGACAAGTACAAGCCTTGCTCTGAGAGCAGTGAGTGCCTGGCTGGGGTGTCCTGGAGCTGCCGGGATTAGAACCGGCACCCAGATGGGATCCTGGTGAGTTCAAGGCAAGGACTTTAACTGCTAGGCCACAGCACCTGGTCCATGGGTGCAGGTTCTAATCCCAGCAGCCCCACTTCCCAACCAGCTCCCTGCTTATGGCCTGGGAAAGCAGTCAAGGAGAGCCCAAGACCTTGAGACCCTGCACCCATGTGGGAAACCCAGAAGAGCTCCTGGCTCCTGGCTTCGTATCAGCATGGCTCCAGCTGTTACGGTCACTTGGGGAATGAATCATCAGATGTAAGATCTTCCTCTCAGTCTCTCCTCCTCTCTCTATATGTCTGACTTTGCAATAAAAATAAATAAATCTTTAGCAAAGCAAAACAAGACAGAACATCTTGCCCCTGGCACAGTAGCCTAGTGGCTAAAGTCCTTGCCTTGAATGCGCTGGGATCCCATATGGGCGCTGGTTCTAATCCCAGCTGCTCCATCTCCCATCCAGCTCCCTGTTTGTGGCCTGGGAAAGCAGTCAAGGATGGCCCAAAGCCTTGGGACCCTGTTCACTTGGGAGAGCCAGAAGAAGCTCCTGGCTTTGGATTGGCTCAGCCGGCCATTGCTGCTTGGGGGAGTGAACCAGTGGACAGAAGATTTTTCTCTCTGTATATCTGCCTTTGCAATTAAAAAAAAATTTCTTTTTAAAAGAAACATCTTATTTTTTTGCTTTGTGATACATACACAGAGTGCTCAACCACTGGTCCATCGTCTAAATGCTGGCAACTGCTGGGGCCGAGTTCTCTCACAGCAAGTGGTGAGGACCCCGGGAGACTGCAGCAGGAAGCTGGAGCAGAAGCGGAGCTGACTTGGGACCAGGCACTTCAACATGGGGAGTGGGCGTCCCGAGCAGGGCCTCTGTGCTGACTGCCTGTCCCCAAACTTCTCTTTTCATTTGCCATACACTTCTTGAATTACTCTCATACAAAAACCAAATGCTTAAACAGTTTAGGAGCGGAGCAATCTGGACAGGTCCCTCTAACTGCTCTTCCCTGGCAACCCTGATCCTTGGTGCGAGCCAGCAGAGCCCTCTGCACCTGGGCAGGGCCTCCCAGGGCAGGCACGTGCACACCCAAGGCAGCTCCTAAGCATCAGTAATCAGCAATCCGGCATTTCCTGTCACTGGAGTGTATGTTTATTTCACAAAACTGCCTTTAAAATAACAATTCCACCACTGTTGTACATAACACCATGGCATAATTTAGGAAAGGTATCATTGGCTTGGCCAGCACAATTCACTCCAACTACTAATTAGACCTCAATTACAACATAAGCAAACCCAAGAGCAGACGGCAAACCCCACGCAGGGTGCTGGCAACATGGGTGCGATGCAGGCCATGGCCACAGTGAGGCGCTCATGTGTGTGCCCAGGGGCCGGGTTGGGCCGTGGCCATGGCCGAGGCGCTGCACTCCACCAGAACGCTCCTGTAGGCACTGCCCCATGGCTGCTGGCACAAGGCAGAATTCTTAGACCAAGTGTAGCTTCCACCTGCCCTGGTCGTTCCAGGCTCCCAAGTCACCCGAGAAAGCTGACACCAAACTCAGTCACACCCCAACCCCAGATATCTTCAAAGAGTGACGTCACCAAAGCGCGGTCTCTTTCAGGGCCCAACGGGTTTCAAATGTGCTCTATGTCTAAGCTGCTCTTTGGGAACAGAACAAGCAGCTCGCGCTGGCCAAGGTTACCATCTTCAAACAGCTCAGTCACCCCACACGCCAAAGCTCTGTCCCAGGTGCTCAGGAACAGCTAGGGGAAGAATGGAAACGACAGCACTGCAGACGCCCTTCTCCATGTAACTCCTCCTAGCTACAGCCGGCCCTCACTCACCAGCCTGGCCTGAACCGGGGAGCCCCCGGTTAGTGAGCAAGCACGACGGGGCTGCCGCTGGCCGGGGAAGACAGTGAACAGCAGCAACACTGATAAACACATGCGGAATGCATACCGCATCTGGGGCATGTGATGGATGCCTGCCACGTGTTCTCGCATCAGTTCTTAGATAACTCTTGAATCCCGTTTCACAGATGGGAACAGAGAGGTCAAGATCACAAGGGCAGAGCACCGCACAGTGGGATGCGAATCCTGATGCTGAGGCCTGTGTCCCGAGGCCAACATGCAGTTGGCTTGAGTACAGCCCCAGGACCTGTTTCCAGCACGTGCCTAGGCGGGGCTGGTGCCGCTGGGGGGGAAGGAGGACTGCGCTGGGCCAGCGCCCTGGCCTTCCGGCTGCCCTGGCCTTCCGGCTGCCCTGGCCTTCCGGCTGCCCTGGCCTTCCGGCTGCCCTGGCCTTCCGGCTGCGTGGCTCCTGGATTCCAGGTGCTCTAAGGGCAGGGGGCAAGGCAGAGCACACTGACACGGGACCAGTTCCTTTAGGGATTAAATATTTCTACAAAGTACTAAAGATGTTGCTTATGTGTAAGCAAGTCTAAGTAACGATGATGATACTTTTTTGAGAGGCAGACAGAAGACTCCTGTTCGCTCCCCAAATGCTCTAGAACTGGGAACTCAATTCCAGTCTCCCAGGTGGGTGGCAGGGATCAAACACTGCCTGTTCTCAGTGCTGCCTCCCAGGGTGGGCACAAGCAGGAAGCTGGAACCAAGAGCAGAGCCCACACCCAAACCCGGGCACTTAGATATGCAATGCAGGTGGGCACTGCCCGTGCCCAGAGGCGTCACCTTAACCTCGTGACACGGCTATGCACCCACACACAGCAGAGACAGACGCTCCTTCCGCGAGCATTTATCCAACACTGCATGGCAGGACATTTCCATGCTTGGTCTTCTCATGCAGGTGCCTGGCAGTGCGGCTTCTCCACAGGCTAGGATCGGCCCTGGCAGAGCCTGGCTTCCTGAGATGTCCACACAGCTCTCCCTCCTGGAGCCCCGAAGCTCTTTCCCGCTCGGTTGCTGGCCGGAAGTCTATCTGCAGTGGCCGGCTTAGGCTTTCCTCTGCTCGCTCACCCCTGGGCTGGTTCCTCTAAAGTTTCCTTTCTAGCAACAAACCAATACTTCCTCCAAGACAAACTCAGACTTGCTTATTTTTACTTTCTAAATTTAGATATAAAACCTCAGCACTTTGTCTTTAAAAAAAAAATGTAACTGGTGCTCTACAACGCTCCACGCCAGACAGGACTTAACTAAAAACAACTTCTGTAGGTTTTTCTGGAAGCTG